TAAAAAGAAGGTAGAAAAATACAGTGATCTTGTTTCTGGTACACATTATGAGGTCTAGTGCCTCTAACATTGTTCTTTTAGAAACCAAATAAACAGACAGACAGTCAAGAATTTATTTTATTGGCTAAGACAGCTTTTGCTTGGCTTAAAAAAAGTTTTAGATAGCTCTGAGCAAAATTAACCCAGCTATTGTTTCAAAGGCCATATGTATTCCCATCAGTAGGACTAAGTAGCAGTTTTTCCCTTAGTTTGCTGCAGAGCTAACTAAATGCATCTGACCATCAGAAGATCAGTTCATTGCACACAGAGAATGTTGTCCTTTATCCAAGCACATTTTTGCTATGTGTGCTCTTCGTAAACTGTTTCTGTTGTTTGGTTTTATATTAGAGGCAGTCCCTTTTTACCAAGTTGCTGTGGCATCCTTTCCATACCTTGTTGTATCATGAACCATATAGCAAACCTATTAATGAAATGTTCAGTCATAATGCCTAGGTTTTGAAGGTATTCTTTTTTACAGATCATCAGGAAGTGTAAGCCCTGAGACCATTTTGGGGCTGGTATAAACTGGAGCGCTCTTACGGTGTTAGTAAAACTGCTTTTCCTCTGGGTGCATCCCAAAAATGTCCAGCTCATGGAATACCTGAGTTAACAGCAATTCCTAGCATTTGTCTTATTAAATCATTTGTTTGAAAATCCTTATCCAAGAGAGATCCTTATTATTAAGTAGTTGTGCATTATTTCCCATGTTTATTGATGTGAGTGGAATACTATCCTGAGCTTGCAGGAGGTGTTTGATTTTCTGTGTGCCATCCCATAGGAGAAATGTACAGAATCTCCCTAAAAGCAATTACCGAAGCTGACAAAAGTCTATGATTCTGTTCAGCATGGGATCTATATCCTTGAGCTTCTGTATTTGTAAGTAGTACCCTCATGCATGCTATGAATAGGAGATTATTATGGAGCTGATAATACAACATGAAGCGCAGAATCACAGACAGTATGTGGACTGTACAATGAACTTGCCAAATCAAATAGATTTGAAAAGAAAACCTGTATGTGGCTGTTCAAAATGAGCTTTCAACCTGGAATCTCTGCACTTCTTTCATGGTTGTGAGGCCTACATTTTAAAAACAAGTAGTTTTCAGAAAGGATTTAATCTTTCGGTCATGTGTGGTTTTACAGAGCTTTAGACTGTCAGCCATTTTCTAATTAGGTAGGGAGCCTTCAAGAGCACCAGAAGTATTAAAAAAGATGGGACATAAATTTGCTACATCAACATAATGTTTAGTGACACTGGTTTGTGCTGCTGATGGTTCCTGCTTTCCAAATGCCATATAAAAATAGCGGTCAGTCAGTTCTGAAATAAACAATAACACTTCACAAATGTTAACAAATGTAAACACTCAAGTGCCCCAGCTAAAATTCAATTAAGGTAGTGACATCAGGGTTGGACACGGTGCTTGTTCCTATTCCTACTAGAGTTAGTGGGAGATTTGATATTTATTTCACAGATAGCAAAGGCTAAATCTGTCATTTTTTTCCCTTCAGGGAAAATGCCAGGTTTGTAATCAAGCAAATTATAGGGATGACATTAAATTCTTTAAATGCCTTGGCCCTCTGTACGCATGAAATTTCACCCCTTCTTTAAGCAGGTTCTATTTTTAAACTGGCATAAATCCAATTTGTTGCAAGCCAGTTATAAACTGATTTGGATGTACCCACTTGGGGGTTTATCCAGGTCAAAATAAATGAGTTAAGTTCTGCTTCTGTTGTTGAACAATAACATCTTTTGTGATGAAAACTTGTTCTTGTGTTTGTGGTTAGTATCATCCAAGCAGTGCTTTGAGGCAATAAAAATGTTTCTGCTCCTATCTGGGGAAAGAACCAAAGAAATTTTTTGTATTATTATTTTAAATTTTGTTGGAATTTACCTTTTAAAGATTTCCCAATGTGTAAAGATGAAATATGTAGTCTGTTTAAAATACAAAAAAGGTCAGTAAAACAATTGAAATTAGTATGAATCACCTAAAGTAAGGGTATTTTTAATCTAGCTTTTTTTCTGATGTGGTAGGTGGTGGAGATGCAGTTGCTCTGCTCTTTATGCTTTTTCCTCTCATTTAGTCACACAGCATAGTATGGCAAGGACCTTTGTTAGTACTTTTGTTAGTGCTCTAAACTGGCACATAAAGACAAGTAATTGTAGTATCTATCCAATCTGGAATATGTTCTGGGTGACCCTGTCAGAGTAGCATCATGCTGTTCCTATTCAGTGTGGCTTTCCCCCAGCTTTCTCCCATGCATTGCCCTCTTACTGATTCCCAGCACTGCATCTGCTAAGATGGTTTCCCAAAATGCTGGAACAGACCTGCCTGTCTATGTGTACCACCACTGGATGCCTCAAAGGGTCCAGAAACCCCAGGTGCCTGGTAGAAACAGCCTTTCTGCCCTGTGTAGCTCCTGGGCACAACCTGTCTGTGTACTGATGCTTGGGCTTGTTTAAGTCTGGGTTGTTGGGTTGTTGGGTTTTTTTTGGTTTTTTGTTTTTTTTTTTATAGTTCTCATATTTAGTATTTCAAATACAGTGAACAGAAAATGTGAATGTGTACTGGATGGCATAATTCATTCTGGATGTGAAGGCAACTAAAATCTTGTACTATTTAAGCTCTCAACAGGATGCTGAAATATCAGCATCCTGTTGAAGATGTTCGGGCTTTATACTTTATTTATGATGAGAACTAGCCTCTTCATGGTTTTGTGGAAAGTTGGAAGGAAAGACTGTTTGCGTCTGCTGATACATCACTTTGCTGTTCTGCAGATTACATGGCACTGTTGATGTAACATTTCCTGCTAAATTGGCTTTATTGAAAATAATGGAATGCTTGCTTCTCCCTTATGTAATTGGGAAAATTTGAAATATAGGTTTAAATAAGATTTTGTATTCTGGATACTGCTGATTAACTTGCTGAGAGAGGATCTTGAAGGTACATTATCTTTTTGCCATCTTTCTGCTAAACTATTAGGCTATTTCGGCTTACACTGTCATTCAGTCCTTAGTTCCTCCTATTTCCATTCTGAGAACAAGAGCCTCAGAAAAAAACCTTGGAATCAGGTATTCCTTAGAACAAACACTTTCTTTTTTTTTTTTGAGTGAGCCAAGGCTGTAAAGCACTGCTACAGTAACTGTAGCAAATTACATCCAAATAACAGCGTGGGAGAGTGGTTTAGATTGACAAGCAGTCTTTATTGACTAGGACCAGTATAATTACTGCATATGTACTATCAAACTTTAAACAGTTCCACGCTCAGTTAAATTTCTATAATTAGCTGCCCTGCAACCTACTAGTCAAATGTAGTGGTGTGTCTGTCGATTAGTGATGAGAGATGAATTGAATTTGTAACTCTATCGTTGTGTAAAGAAGTATTTATAAAATTACAACAGGGATTCAGAACCATTAAGCAAGTTATGAATGCATCTATCCTTGACATTCACTTAAACCTTTCTGAGCAGGCTTGTTACATGCTAACTTTCTTTATAGACAGATAGTCATTTATCAGGGTACTAATAGTAGTATTTTTATTTGGAGGTTATTGTCCTCTTTAGTTAAGTCAGCATCCCATCGTTGCCAGATTAAACACCTGTGAAGAGTGTTGCCTTGTTTCCTGGAGAGCTCTGTTCAAGTTCCTGTGATCACGAAATCAAGAGTTAATTTAACATGGAAAATACAATAGTGGTTTGAAAGAGGAAGTTCTTGTTGTTGCTCAGGTATCATCTGTAGGTTTGTGTGTTCAGAACAGTAACACGTTACCAGGAAGTAGATGATTTATAAAAAAAAAACAAACAACCAAAAAAACGGGTAGGGAAGATGCAGAAATGAGTTTCCTCTTAGATTAAAAAAAAAAATAAAAAAACTTACAAGATTCTTCCTATTTATTTGCTGTTGAAAAAAAGGCCTGAACTGTTTCACATAAGTTCATACTAAATTGGACTTCGGAGAATAATTAAGACACTTTAACTCTGTGGAATTACATGGTATGCAGAGAAATTGAAATTATTTCTCTGTTCTCAAGGCATTTCTTTTTGAAATACTTATGTGTGCTTAGACTTTATATTATATGTAGGGTATACATTACGTGAAAACCTTTCCTTCTTGGTGGGTGATTTTGGTAAATGAATCAGGAGACACTCGTGTTCGCAGAAGCCTGGCTGTCACTGCAGCTTCTCTGGGGTTTGAGGAGTGTGAGGCTGGTGACTTGAGTGGATGGTGCACCCGTAGTGCTGAGTCTGCCTAAAAGAGATTTCTCTTTCTGCTTTGTCTCAAAACTTCCTTAGTTAATTCCAGTTTTATCTAATTGTCATTACTACTAGCCTAATGCTTTTTTCTTAGTATCTGTTGTGATTTGATTCCTTAATTTTCCTCCTTTACCTAAAGTGTAAAGGATTAATAATAACGCCTCTTTTTTCCATTTTTCTTCTTCTTAGCTCATCTCACACATTTTTCCATTGCGAGTTGTTATAATGGTGTTACAACTCTTGTTATAATGGTGCATATAACAGACAGAATTAATAACCTTTTCCTTGCATAAAAGTCATAATCGCATACCTAATACAGCAAAAGATGTAATATTAAGTCTCTGGCTTCATAACGTTGATACTAAAACTTTGTGTAAGTAATACCACTTCTGGTAATTTAGCATAAATAAACTTTTCAAACAGATACTTTATCCCTTGTGAAGACATATGCAGGCATTTTTTCTCTCTTTTTTTTTCTTTTTTCTTTTTTTTTTCTCCACCTCCACATTATTTTAGATGATTTAAGAAAGTTTTCATCCTGCTCCTCTAGAATGTAACTTTTTATGTAAATGTAATACGACAATTTCTTGTGGTAGTGGACAAAAGTAGCAAAATGACATGCTAGCTGCATTGAAGGGTGTTATTTTCTGTATTTCTGTTTAGCTAAGACAGCTTGACAGTTAAAAATCTAATCTTCTTTGACTTGTAGATTCAAGATGCTGCAAGTCAAGGCATGAAATTTGTTGGAATTATACCTCAGTACCATTCCCAAAAGAACTGTCTTGTCAGCACCTCCCTGACACCCACCAGTAACAACTCTGTGCAATCAAGAGATAATGTTTCAAATTATCCCGAGGATCACGCTTCACCGGATGGTGAGAAAATAGATGGCATTAATGGATGCAATACTCCAGCACCGAGTGAGGAAAGTGCTGACCAATGTGCCACATCCAGGGAGGGCTGGAGAGGTGAAGGACAGGCTGAGGAAGAGCTGAATCTCAAGTCTGTGAAGGGAAAGGAAGAGCAGTTTCAACCCGCGAACCCAAGTGTAAGAGAAGCAGCAGACAAGCCGAATGGACTTGCAGAGAATGAAACACCAGCACGATACTTAAAACCACTTACTGGCAGTAAGTATTGTAGTGACCTTTCATACGTAAAAGACAAGCTAAAATTGCCTCAATTATGTTCCCAGCTCCTCTAGTGGGGGGTGGGGATGCGGGGAGGACCTTACCACTGTAATCGCGATGAAAAGATGCACCAAGTGAGCCACTTAACCTGATTTCAACAGGGTTACACAGTTCACCATGACTGAGCTAAGTCAGATGGCAAATGAAGAGATGATGTAAGCGGGTGCAAGTTTCTTACAGTCCGTTTGTGTGCCTGAGCCTACAGACTTACTTTTGTCTGCTGTTCATCCGAGTTGGTTCTTTTTTTGTATTTGTTGTGATAACCTGAGAGCTCTTGATCTTTGCATCCTTTTTGTCCATTTGAATAAAAAGCCCTGCTAATCTGCCTGAAAAGGTTATGCAGCAATAGAAGGAATAAGTCACAAAGGCTTATCACAGTTGGCCCCTTTGTAGCAGGTAGACAGCTAGCTGAAATTAAACCACATCAGGAACAGCAGGAGTATATGTAATCTGGACTCTGAAGTTCCTTTGTATCCTATAGTCAGGCTACAGTCTGAATTGCGATTACTGGAAAGCAGCAGTTATTTTGGTAATGGCTCATGTTTGCTAATTTATAATAAAGGTCCTCTTGGTAATCATGCTCCTAATAATTTGCCTTCCAGTTCTCCTATTTTTGTAAGACTATTCTTCATATACCAATTTTATTTCTTTCATTTCTTTGACATATTTCTCCTCAGGTGTGCTTTCCATTTTTAAATGTGATTTTATGCCATCAAAAAGAAGTCTCAGCTGAGGTCTCAAAATACCATCCTTAAGGTGTTTGTTGCTTGGACGTTACTTCAGTAGCAGGAATTGTAGTTCAAAATAGGACGGAGACCAGAGTAATTTAGAAAATGAAAAGTCATCAGAAAAAATATTCTTGTCCCATTTCCAGTTTGAACCTCAAAATATTTTTCTTTCCTATGTTTGCTTAAATCCTAGAAAACAGTGTGTACACTCATTTCTCTTACCGCTTTGCTTATTTTCTTTACAAGCCACAAATCTATGTAAGAAAATTCCGTCTACATTCCTTTCATCTGGTACTGTCCTTGACTTTAATTTATCCCTATTCTTTATGTCTTACATAGATTCAGTGAAACAATCCTACCCCTTTGGGGATTTTGTGTGTAGAGAATGACTTTGCATTGTACCCTCTTTGGACTATTGTCTTGGTTTCCGTTGTATTTTGGTGGAATTAGCTTTTTGCATCAGATTTGGATCACACTCCAGTAACCTTTCACCATACTTTCTTCAAATTTTTGTTGGGCAAGGAGACAGCCAGATTGCAGTCAAAGCACAGCTATTATTTGAGTAATTTGTTCTGGTTTACACTAGAATCTTACACATCATAAAACTTCTCTTAGTTTTATAGTTCTAAATTACTTATCTCCAAGTCTAATCAGACCAGTTCTTTCTCCTTTTAATATCTGTCTTTAGGAGAGTTAACCTAACAAGTTTAATTATCCTTTTGATGCTATTCTCCATACTGAACAGTGGAAAGCTTTTGCTACAAGTAACCACATTCTTCATATTTCTGCATAACGTGAAGCTGATCACCTCCAATCTTCCCAACGTCTGTCTGTCTGTAACACCCCAGGATTTTATTACAGCTGCTGATTTGCCAGATAAGAGGTTTTATTTTAAAAATGCCTCTAGTTTCCTTATTTGTCTTTCTTTCTCTGAGTGCTTTTTGGCTTTATTTATTTCTCTACAGTTTTTTAATTGGTGAGTTATGCAAATACTTTCCAAGATTGAAGGTCTGAGAAAGCAGTTTTATGTGGCAGTTCATCTATACTAGGATTTTCCCAAATCTATTGCCTGTACAACATTGCTGATTTCTTTATTACTCTTGTATGAATTTTTGTTATTACAGCACTCCCTTTTCCTCCCATGGAAAATGTATTTCAGTCTTTGGCAGCAGTTCTCCATCCTTCCTTGGGAACATAAAGATAGAAAGCATCAGGTGTTTTTCTTTTCCAGTTAGCCTACTTATTCCATAGGAAGTTAGTACTCTTGAACTCCATCTTCCCTACATAAAACTTCAGAAAAAAAATGTAATATTTCTTACTATTTGTGGAATCTTAATGTTTTCTTTATTTTAGGTTTTATATTATTCAAGTGTTATTTTTCTGCTTCTCCATTGTTTGGGTTTTTTTTCCTGAATATTTTGTAGTGCTTACTCAGTTTCCCTTTTACTAAAGGGCTCTTCAATGCAGTGTTGAAAATTATTTGCTTGTGAACAAGGCACGAATATTCCAAGGGTATGTTCAAAAGTGCCATGTTACCTAGAGCCAAACCAAAGGTGTCTGTGTCCATGCTTGGGCAGCCAGGCTTGCTGGTGAAAACTGTTGTCAACAGTGACTTTTGAAGGGTGGTTAGTACTGCTGTACTAAACACTCAATAATGGTGACAAACAAAGTCAACCACTGAAAGACTCCCATGCATTTTAAATGCATTTTGTCAACAGCCCAGTCTCAAATTTGATTTATCATTTCCCTATAGGTTTCCAGTTCCATGATCTGCTATTCTTAATGTAACATCTTCATTTATACCGAAAAGGTCTCCATTTCCAACATGAGTCTATTTTGGGGGTCAGAATCAAAATGATTATAGAAGTTTTCTGTGTATGCTCTTCTGAGTTAGGATTATCATAATTTTGTTCTTTCTAAACAAGTGATAAACAGCAAGAGGATTCTTTTCAACAATTTATTTCTTTCTACTCTATTTGAAATCAACAGTTCATGTCTGAGATCATTAGGTCTCTCTTTCACGTTTGGTTACAGCATGAGCTTCCTGCTCTCTTCTCCAAGTGCTGCCAGCCTGGCTCTGAGCGGCTCCCTCTGATACCTTCTTCAACTTAACTCTACTTGCTCAGTGAAGTTTGCTAGCGAGCAGTCTTAACATTTCTCTTGACATGTCTTTCTTTACTTTAATACTTGAGATTATAATATTATAACTTGAAAACAAGAGGAGCTTATTGAATGAGTGTATTTCATATAATGTCTTTACCTTTTAAATTAGGTTATTTTGGGAGAATTTTTGGCATTTGGAAGTCAATAGAAATTTTTACCATTGATTTCCGTGTCCATTAATAAGTAAAATATTAATGTCCAACGGTTTTTTATTGGTAATTCTACTGATGGTTGTACCCTTCTGAGAATTTGGAAGGTGTATCTGCACTTAAACTTGTTTCCAAAGTTTTAGGGCTGTGAAAACTCAGCTTTGCTGTCAACAATGACTTTCTTGTGGTGATAAGGCCACATTAACTGCTGCTGTGGTATACTAGGGGAGGTATGGAGCGGAGTCTAGGAAACGGTCTCATTTGTAAAACCCTTCACAATTCTACTTTTCAAAGTTCATTTACTGTTGCGTTAATGTCTCGCCTTGGCTCAGACCCAGAGTAAATCAACCAACCAGCTAATGTCATATCTACAGTAATGTTTCATCGCATTTTCTTCAGATGAGGCTATTCCTTGCTGTTTCTGTGCCATTGTATTATCAAAACCAAGTTATTTAATACTTCAGTTTAATTGCCATGATGGAACGGAATGCAGTTTCTTCTAAATTTGCAGGAAGATTTTGTATTCAAACTGTCCTGAGTGTCACAGCTCTTTTAACAGTTCATTCAGTAGAAGAATACAGGTACTCTGAGCATTATTTTTTAGTGATTTTTGTGACTGCTACAGTACTTAAAGCAGTTTGTGGAGTATGTTTTCCTGCCTTGGTTTACACTGATAACTCCAGTAGGGAAATTATCCATTAGTACTCAGGTATTTCTGTCTTTAAATGTTTTATTATCAGCAGTGAATCCACAATTAGTAACAAATTCTGTAACAGCAATTAAAAAATTGTGTTGGGTTTGGGACCCTACTGTGTTGGGCACTGCAGAAATGTATTCAGGAGATAACCATGACCCAAAGTATTTGTTGCAGTTGCACAGTGTAATTAGGGAAGGGCAAACAGTGGCTTATACATTGCTTTAGCTGAAATATCATAAAGTGGTTGTTGCATTATGCCTTTTTTTTTTTTTACTTTTTGGTAGAAGCAGAGATCTTCGCTCTCTTCAACAAGCCAAAAACCCCACAAAGATGCAGCCAGTATTACACAGTGACTATCCCTATGAGGATCTCCAGGAATGGGCAGACTGTCAACAGCTTGGAAGCAAATTGGCTGGAGCACATGACAGATCACTTCAGGAAAGGAGGCTCATTGGTAAATGCCATCTTCAGCCTTGGAATGGTAAATGGTATGGAAATTACAGAAAGCATTACGCTGTGATTATTTTCCTTTCTCCTCTAATAGAGGTCATTATCTTTGAAGAGAAGACATTTGGGAGGTGCTTTAATATAGGCTAGGGGCAGATTTGGTTTAGATCAACCTATTTCAGTGAAATGGAATGAAAGCAGAGGAAATATTTTGGCATTTGAATAAGGAAAACAGATCATGTCTTGTATTTTATAAACGTACTAGAGATGACCCTGTAATTGCAGGAGTACACAGAGTTAATAAACAGTACCAAGTAAAATGAATTAAACTAATAAGATTGTAAAGCAGATGACATAAATGGAAGAGTGGGTTTCTTCTTAGCCGCCCGGCCACACACTGCAGCTGGGTCTGATTGAAGGTCAATGTAAGGACTCTCTGGTTTCATCTGTCCAATGTGTAGCCAGTCACTCCCAGTTCTTCCAGAGACTCCTTCCACCTTGATGGCACAATGTTTTATAAAATAGTCTTCTGTGTTTGTTTCACCCTAGCTAGTGTGTTCAAATAAGTGATGATTAAATGCTGGTCTTAAATTATGAAGCGAAGATTAAAATCCAGATTTTTGCATGTTGTGAAAATGTGACACTGAATCCAGCTTAATATTGTAGCCAGTCTGGACTACACAACGTGGCCACCATGGTGTCTCTGAAGACAAGCCTGCTGTACAAAGAAAAACTTTGGTGCATAGTAGGGATCTGAGACACATAACAAAGGGACCACAAAAACAAACCAAGGGAAGTACTTGAACATAAAAATGTTGGAAGTTACAACCAGATTAATTTTACTGGAATATTTCGTGACTAGTGTACTTCATGGTTAAAGTGCTTATGGCTGAATCTTTCACCTAATTTTGGTTTGTTTTGCATTCTTCAAAAGGAATGTGGTAACCCATAGATTGGGCACTGCTACTAACATTCATGGGTTTATGCCTTAAAATTATAGGGGAACTGCTTCCAGAGCATCTTCTTCCCATTTTGTGCTGGTCAGAATTCCAGGATCCATAATAAAACACAGTAATGTGAGTCGGTTCTGGTAAAAGTCAATCAGGAAATTAACAGGCAATCCTAATTTTTCATTTTGCAAGCAAGTAGCAAAAAAAGGAAGGTCTAAAGTTCAGTTGATGGAATGCTTTCACACAGCTTCCTGGAAAGCCTTGTAATTGCTAGTTAACTTACTTAAAAACAAATGTTCATTTACTTTATGTGTATAAATTGCAACTCATAGAGCAAATCTAATTGGCTCTATCAGGCCCGGTGTTTTCTTTAATAAAAACTGCTTATCAGTGCACTCTAAAATGCTTTAAACATAGCATTTTTCTGTTATTTAAAGTTCTAGAGTTCATTTACATAACAGAGGCCTGGGGGAAGTTCATGTACTTGGATACCAGAGTGAGGAGGGCTGGATAACTGCCTGCAGACATAGATAAAGTAGGCTGGAATGATGACAGTAAAGTTTCAACGTAAACAGGATGATGAATTGTATAAAAGTGGGCAGATTCTGGATTAAGTTAGATGAGAGATTGAAAATGAACAATTAATGAACATTTTTATTAGGTTTTACAGTTACAGATTTAGAGGTCAAAAAGCTCAGTTAAGGTTTCTAAAAGTGTATGAATTAGAATACGTTAAAACACTGTGAACGTGCCTGTGCTATTAGGAGAACTTTTGCTAAGAACATCTGTAAGTTGCTGTCAGTTGCCGTTAAATGTTTATGATTTAAATTACAAAATTTTCCTGTGCTTCAGAGAAACGGAACAGCTTTTTCACTCATATGCCAACCAGTACAAAACAACCCAGGGGAGGGAGGAAGGGAGGGGGAAGGAAGAGGGGACTGAGGGCTTCTCAGTTCCTTACTTTTTTCTAGACCTTTACGACAGCCTGTCCAGCTCCTTGTAGCTGCTTTCCTTATTCACTGATTAATCCTCTTCCAAATTAAGGTAATATTAGCATACTTTCTTTAATTGGTTGTATCACATTTCTTTGTTCTGGGGGCTGGTTTTCTCTTTGGCTTAAAGTATGAATTCATTATTTTGCTTATTAGACTTAAAAGCAGGGTTATTATCTTCTTTTCCCCCATGTCCTTGGAATGCCCAATGAAGTGAAGATTTCCAGATTGTCAGTAGTCATAAATCTGTTTCTTCCTTCTGCCAACAGTTTATTAATTAGTCTTTAAAAGAGTTTTAAAGTTCACTGATAACAATTGTTTCTTTTTGCTTATTGTACCAGATAATTATAAACAGAAATATAGCACAGTTGCAAATTACAATATGTAAACCACACAGAGTTACACCATATATTAAATGTATTCAGATTTTGCTAGTAAGTTAGAAACAGCAGCTTGCTTGGCTCTTCAACATTCACAGATGTTGACAAATAACAGTTACTTAGATTTGGAGTCCAGTTATTTGATGGTGTTTTTCATCCAACTGGAGTCACTGCTAATTCTGCCTGTAGTCCTGGGTGTAAGCTGGTCATGCCTAGTGATCTCAAGTGATCATAGGACTTCACCCGTGCCCCTTTCTAGTGAGAAGTGGAGGCTGTAGCAGCAAGCTCCAGATTAATACCACTGCAAATGGAAAGGATGTGGGCTCTCTTCCCTTCCTATGACAGCCAGTCTCCAATCAGCACTGTAAGAAGATGAGAGTGAGGAGGGCAGAAGAGTCAAAGCTCAGGTTATGTTTTGATGTCTTAACAGAGTAATCACAAGCCTGCTCTCTTGAGTTGTTTTGAACTGCAGGTCTTTAAATGCCTGGCATTCTTGTATTTGTTTTACCATTCTGTCTGTGAGTTTCCTGCCTTTCAAACTTAGAAAAAGCCAGGCAACCAACCAGAAAACATTGACAGTACTTAAAGCAAATGAAACAAAATGTGAGACGCTCGGAAGAGGAAAATAGGTATTTTTTTAGAGGGTCAGATTGATTGTCTCTGTTATATTCACACTGCCTCTGACAGAGTTAAATCAGTGATGCATTTTGCCAATTATAGTCACCTTATCCACTGAAGTGGCTGGGATTTTTATCATCCATATGGAATTATTTTTATCTGTGGGTACTGAAGGTGAAAAGACTCAAGAGGAGGGAGGAATATAAATATGAAGCAAAAGCCAAGATTCAAGTCACATGCCACACAAAGCCACAGATAGCTAGTTTTCCTCATTCAGAACAATGGCAGCCTAAAGGTTAGTTTCCTGGATAAGGGAGATTTGTAGTTCAAAAACAACAAGGGGAAAATTGCCCACTAGGAAAGCTGTCATGGTAAAGTAAGAAATCTTTTCCCTTATATCTCTTGTAAATCAGAAGCAAGAACATCAAAATAGCTTTTTGTCAACCAAGCTACATCAAATATTTATACAAGCCAGTGAAAATAGCTTTTTGTGCACAGTAGGATACCTTAATAAAAAATGCAGTGGTAATGGAACGTTTTCAGAGGAAGGACAGTGATTGTAACCTTTGCATTCAGAGCCTTTTCTTTAAGGAAGAGTGAAGATATGTCAGTTCAAGAGTAGAGATTGGGAAATGATACCACAAACAGCAAAGTCAAAAAGGTTTGTTTTATTGGCATTCCTTACTGCCCTATTGCAAATGAACTAACATTTGATTTTAGTAAAGACCTTTTTAATGTAGGCTAAGTTCCATGAGCTAAATCTTGTTAAACAAAGAGATTATCCAAAGAGAATACAACTTTATCAGAATCAGGAAATACTTTGCATGAGAAACAGTGGAAACTGGAAAGACCAACTCACCGTCTGAAGCTTTGGATGACTGATCTTTGTAGATAGGTTAGGTAAGATTCATCTGAATAAATGTAAGCATCTGGCCTGCAGGTATCTACATATGAGTAATCACCCAGAAGTTGCCACTATAATCAGTTGAGATCTTGGCCTAGACCATTATAGTCAGTAGGATTTGTGTTGTGATGCACCTCATCCTACATCAGACATCTAAAAGAGATCACGTAGATTGGAGTGGGTGATTTAGTCACAGCAGACCTGGGTAAGACTGAGGTACTCAGTGCCTCCTTTGCCTTAGTCTTCACTGATGCAGTCTTCCAGTCCTCTGAGCTCAATGGCAAGGTTCAAGGAGGTTCAGGAGTAGCAGCAGTGGATGAAGATCAAGACAGGGATCGCTTGAATTCCTGAGATGGAATGGTCTGCATCCAGGGGTGCTGGCAGAGCTGGCTGGTGTCATAACAAGGCCACTGTTAGTTACCTTTGAAAGATCACGGACATTGGGGGAAGTTTCCAACACTTAAGAAAGGTAAAGTTTGCATCCATCTTTAAACAAAGGCCAAAAGGACAATCCAGGGACCTAGGGGGTGGTCAGCCTCACTTATTCCTGGGTAAATCACTGAGTCCTCTTTGAACACATTTCTTGACACATGAAGGAGATGAAAGTGACTGGGGACAGTCAGTATAGATTTAACAAGAGTAAATCATACTTGATGAAACTGATTGTCTTCTGTGATAAAATCAGTGGATTTGTGAATGAAGGGAAAGCAGTAGATGTCGTTTTGGGTGAATTCATTAAGAAGGTTTGCCATTGGCTCCCACAATATTTTTGTGTCCAAGTTAGGACCTTGCAGCCTTCATGGGACTAGTTGTCCTCCCATCTTCAATGGCTAGGCTCAGGGGGTGGCAGTTAATAGGTTGTCGGTTTTCCCCTTCCAGTTTTCTCATTTTCTATAGGTTTCTTTCCTGGCCAAAAGGGTAATGGATTTTAGGATTGGCTGGATATAGTATTCAACAGTAATCATTATACATTCAATAAGGAAATGCAGTCGAGCTTGTCTGCAGCCTGTAGGGTCTCACCAGCTCAGCTATTAGTTTCTAAAACATTACATATGTGCCATAATGTTCACATATGTGGAAGCTGTGAACTGCGCGAGTGGAATGCGCAGCAGAGCGAAACATAAAGGATGATTTACGAGTCAGTGTAAACACATGCATGCTGATTGTGTTTTGATCGCTTATTAATTAGCTGGCAAACGCGTGGGGTGAGCTCAAGCTGCGGTTGTGCCAACAGTGCGACTCTGAGTTTCATGAAAGAATTGACGGTAGAGGAGCGGTACAGCAACGCTGCATAGAGCTTCCTGGAGGGACCTGGGTGTCTCTGTCTGATTGCAGCCTTAGGTCCTGCCCTGTCATCCCTGCTTTGGGAAATTAAAGGGCTATTTGTACATTATGCATTCTAGAATATATTTGGATATGGGTGTGGGTGTTGGAACATGACAGATTACACAGAAGTTGAGTTGATTCTGGCTTTGGAATGTGGAGTCTAACAAAGTGCCATTTCTGAATGAAATGCTATCATTAGCTCTTGAACCCATTTGTATGCAGCAAGCTTGCTCTTGCTGTGTTTTCTAATCTGCAACCCAGCTACTTAGTGATCTGGCCTGTTATTTCATAACAAAAATATCTGTTCTCCTCACTCAGATGAAAAATTCATGTAGATGACAGCAGTTGCTCCTTTGTAGTCCTCCTTGGAGCGATGTGTGATTCTGGCCTACTGTAGTGGTGAGGAGTCTTCATCCCTCTTTATTCTAGATGGACTTGCAGGAAACCTGTCTGGGGAGATAGTCAGCTTGAAAGTACACAGTGTATTTGTATACTTCTTTGAGTCTCCCAGTCTGGTTTACAACTTCTGTCCTTCACAACCAAAATGAAAAAAAATAATAAAATCCTGTTGTAGTTTAGGTAGGAGTATTTGCATCTGCTCACTTAGAACTTAATAACTTGATGGAAACTGCAGCAGGAGAGAGTAGTGGAGCGTGCAAATGGCAGCAAAGGGATGTGCAAATGCTTGATGCTTGCAGCAACAGTCCTGCTACGGTGTGTTTGTAGTCATGAGCCTTCAACTGTACGAGCCTGGTTTGTTGTGGGCAAAGCCCACAATAAATTTGTTATTTCCAGATAATAAATTGAATTTAGATCATATAATGACATCGGAAGATGTTGACTGAGATTGTGTCTGCAAGAGGTATGAAGCCTCTTAATCCTCTTTACTGTCTCCTTTGTGAAAATTGGTTCTGAGTTTGATATATGTTTTCCCTTGGAGGCAGTGATGCCTTCCCACTGGCATTTCTTGACCTCCTAACATCCACCAGGGAAAGCAGGAGGACCTGATGACACAGCTGAGCAGATTTACCCAGAAGACTCTCCTGTCAGCTCAGGAATCTGTCAGTTTGGCCTGTGTGGTTGCAGTTCAAAAACATGTATCGGTGCAAGGAGCATAGCTTTCCTAAAAATGCAAAGAAACTATCATGCAAATTACAACACTTGGGGAGGAGCAAGGTCTTCATCATCATTTGTACAGCGTAACTGTATTATTTAAACTAGAAAGGCTGAAAACACACTTTGTGACATCATGAGAGGAGTTTTCTGTGTTTGTAAATAGTACGGCACTGCTTATTTACAGTTTTTCTAAGTATAGTTGTATTGCTTCATCATTTAGCTTATTTTAGCAAAGAAAAGTAATTTTTTTTTTAAATTATTCTGATCCTTTTCTGTCGTGGAGCTGACAAAACTTGGGTATGGGAGTGATTGCCGATTATACAGCGAAGTTGAAGGAGAAAGTGCTGCTCGAGTAACTTTAATAGTATGTGTTGTCTGAAAAAAGGCTGAATGTGCTGGGAATGCAAATGAGAATAGAGAGCCACTAAACCAGATGGTCAAAATGCCTTCATAAATTGATTAAATAGTTATGAATGTATCTTTTCTTTCACACCATTCAGATACGCCAGATCATCCTTAGTCCATGTAGATCACTCACTACAACGGCTGATCCATATGTAGGGTTCTGACTTGTGTGAATGAATGGGTATAGTCATTAATATCGGTGTACCTTCCAAAGCTCTTGAAAAGTTGACATAATACATGGTCTTTAACCCCCAAAGTGCGTGCATGACTTCAAATCGGTGAGCTGTACTGCTGAACTGAGGACTGAATCAATTTTTCCTGCTTAAAACGGGAGAGCTGTGTTTTTTGAGGACAAACTCTGGAGAGTGAGGTTTGCTATTAAAGAGTAGGATTGCTCTTAAAAGCTGCTGGAGATATTAGTCTCATTCATTTAATAATGCCTAGACCAGAGGAAGGTCTAGGCACATTTTATTAACATCCTTGTATTTGTATTTGAAGTATTTGTGATTTGTGATTAATAAATTCAAATGCCTCGCTACACATGGGTGGCCTTCCATAAAGCTTACAGATAACCCTGTATTTTCACAGATTCTTTGCATGGGACAATGGATGGAGTATTTCTCTTCGAAGATGTTGCTGTGGAAGACAGTAAAACCACGCAGAGCTATGATGCAATTGTTGTAGAGCAGTGGACTGTCCTGAAGGTATGTGCACAGTTTTAATCCTTTGATTTTCTTTGTTTTTGCAAATCAAAACGCTCCAAGACCGCGAGGCAGACTCTTCTGTACTGATCTGTGCTTCAACAGCACCAGAGAGGCAACTGAGGTAAAAGGATGCAACAGAACAGTAACACCATTTAACCACACTCTAGGTTTGTACAGTGCACTTTTGGTTTTTATAATCTCTGTGCTTTAGTGAGGTGGGTTAGGAAATGTGAGTGATGGTGAGCAATGAAACTCAGGGCGGTCTGTCCCCAAAATACAGATGTCTGCTCGACTAACTGCAGAGAGGATCTCCACTGGTTGTCAGGGCAACGTGATCACACGAGTCACGGTAGCATCGCAGTTCTAAAGGCGGCGTCCCTTTAGGTAGACATAGCTGCAGCAGGAATGCACAGATAACTGCATTTGCTTCTCTCTGACCTCCTTCATACTCTGAAAGCACTCTATGTCCTGGATAGGTCCCTATAAACAAACCACGTGTGTCACAGAGTGGCTTTTTACTGATCCAAGTGCACACTCAGATCAGCAGAAACACCGTTTAGATCAGGTCAGTACCGATCTTCCACAGCAAATTTGATACACAGGTACTTGAAAAGCTGGGCTTAAAATTCTCTGTGACTTGAAGCAAAAATGGATGGGGGGAAAGAAGTAGTCTGCCAGAAATAGATGTTATGTGTCTATAAAGGCAATGCCTGACCTTTTTGCTTGGAATATATTGGAAGTGGTGTAAAATCCTAAGACAAGCAAGGCACACACATGCCAAAAGGATGGATTAAAGGAAAATTGGACAGATGCTAGACCAAATGTGTAAAATTTCAGGAGACTAGATTTAAGAGGTTGGTTATTAGATTGATGACTTTGTAATCTAGCAAGAAATGGCCATATAATAATGGCTAGAAACTGCTTGAAGAATAATGTAATGCATTAATGGCAGTTTTTCTTGTGATAACGTGCATCTGAACAAACGATTCCTATATTACATTTAATATTATTCCAGTTATTACAGACTTGACTGGAAGTTCTTGTTCATTTTTAGGGTCAAATTGTGGTGTTGCCACTCAGGAGGAAGGTTTTGGAATAATGACAGATGGTTCCATGAATGTATTAGGTCAGTGCTGATCAAGAAGGCAAATGTTAAGAAGCTTTAATGTTAACCATATGTTAAAAACTGTTAGGAAAGGAACAGAGAGTGAAAGCATATACTACTACATACTACTGTATAAGCCATGATTTGACAGCGCCATATTCCAGAAGGTTATGTTGGCATGGTAAAAATTCAGAGAAGAGCAGTGAGGAGGATCAGAGATACAAACGGCTTCTGTATTGGGAAGACTTTACATGGTGTGTCCTTTCAGCCTGGAAAAGAGAAGAGTTGCAGGGAATGGAATAGGTAGAGGTCTCCTAAATCACGTGAGGCACATAAATAGGGATTGGCTGTTTGCCATCTCTTCCAGTATAAGAACTAGGAGTTGTCAAATCACACTAGTAGGCACCAGGTGAGAAACAAACTAAAAAGAGATAATTCAGGTAATTCTTTATACAGCAGGCAGTAAATCTGTAGAACTCTTTTCTGGAGAATGCTGTGGGTTCAAGAAGTTTAGATGGGTTCAGGTGGAAGCAATGTTTTTTCCTCTATCTTACCTATCTCTGTATTCATACAAGCATTTTAATTCAGATCAGGAGGGCTTTTTTGAAGTAAACTCCCTGATTCTCTCCATATAATATACCTTGCGTCACGGAATGGTCTCACGTTGCACAAACTGGATTCCTTTCAGTAGAAACTAAATGAGACCTGCTGAGAGGAAGTACACAAAATAATTGGGCCAGGTATCCTACCTGTTTACCCAGATATATATTACTCTTCCTTAGCTGTCACTTACAGCCATGTTGAAGACTGCATTTTGTGTTAAATGAAGGACAGAGTGGAAGCCAGGGGGTCTGTAGACACATGCCCAGTGTCATACCCAGAAGACCAAGTCGCCTCTCTGTAAAACCCTATTGGAATTCAACCTTTATTTACTGTAAACAATAATGCAGTGTCAGAGGAAGGGATGTAAAATGCAGGATCTGGATGGGAGGAGATAGAGTTCAGTAGTGAGAGAAGATGTCCAAAAGCCAGTAAAGGCTTTGTTTCTGTTATGAGTACTTCAAAGTATAATTATAACAGAGATCATTGTGGGCTAGTGGAATCACTCATTGATGTAGACTTTTTTTTAATATAGGTTCAGCTCTGATCTAGATTAACATTTTCCATTTGTCATTTTTGTTTGTACCAAGGTAGTGGAAGAACTGATGAGCAGCATGACATAAATATGTATAATGGATACTTATTTTAAATTTGTATCAGATTTGATTATGTGGAGGAGCTATGGAGTTGTTCAGATGTGGTCTGAACTGAATGTAAATTTATTGCACTGTATCCCAATTAAGAAGGAGAAACAAACAAAAGAATCCCAGCCACAACAAAAGAAAGCTGTTTTAAAAAGGAAGACATGTAGCATGTATTGATGCCCTTTAGTAATAAAAAGATAGCCTTTCTAAATGAAAAGGTAAACTTTTGCTGTTTAACCATAAAGGCAAAAAAGGGTCTGGCACACCTCTTAGCAGAGAAAGTGCTGCCTTTTTAATTGCTAAGGCTAATAGAGAAAACAAGCTGAACAGTGTGATGCAGTCGTATGTGTGTAAAATGTCAGTTTGTAGAGGATGTAAAGCTCACAGCTGTCACAGTATGTGGTCCCGCCAAGCAGCAGACAGGATGTAATAGCTCTGAGTCATTTAACTCTTTCTTCTCAAAGTAGAGCTGTGGCATCCTCTGCAAATGACCACAGGACACCTAATGGCAAAATGCTGCTCTCATCCTTATCGCTTTAACTCTAAAAATGTCAGGGCACATTATTTCCACCGCAGCCTCTGAGATCTAGCACTAAAACTTGTTTGATGGTTTTAATTCTGCTTGTGTAGGCAAATGTGGGTAGACAGTTCTGATTAATCAGAGCCTGTATGATTTCCCTCTCCCTAACTCTAATCTGTCACCTTCTCTTCCCCATTACCCAGGACAAAATAGCTAATAATGTCTTTAAAATTGAGTGCTATGCCATCTATTTTAAATTTCTGCATTGTTCTGCTTCTGAAGCCTTGTTCATTTTGAAAATATTGTCCTTAATTTACAGGTATTGTCTCATTGAAAATCTTCAGCTGGTGATTCATCACTTTTTTATTTTCTGCTATACCATATCTTTGGGGTACTGACATGAATTAAAATCTCAAATACATCACGGTGTTGCCATTTCCCTGGCAGAACTGAATGGGGTCAGTGTCTGCTGTAGACATGGTAAACCTTTCAAAGTACGACATATCAAACGATTTAAAAAATGATCTCTGCTGAGCCTAGGTTGCAAGTTGCCTTAATGTAAGCCTTGAAACAAATTCCCTGGAAACGAGGATTTGATTTGTCTGTAAATCTGATTTAGGTCATATGTCAGTTAAGCTACATTCTGCCGTCTCTAGCCAGGGGAGAAAGGCATGACCAGGTCAGCAAAGGAGCTGATGGTGATGGGTATGAAATGCAGCTCTGTGAGTGCCCCTCTTTACCACCCAAAAGACATATGTGTTGTCTGGACATAATATTTCAGCATTTCGTCTCTTGTTGCTTTTTAGGAAAAACTGTGAAAAAACCACCACTTTCAGAAGCCTCTTCAACAGATTTTTATAGGTTTTTTTCTTTTATGTAAGACATGAAAGCAGCATGTATACATATTTGTCTGCTGAACTCAGTAGACATGTGCTCTGTGTGGGATTAAAACGCACAAGCTGATCTTTCTTTGGTTTTCTTGATAAATTTAGTAGTAAAATCTAGCAATACACACTTGGAACTTTCCTGATACTTTCTTGTGGCACTGGAAGTATTGAAAGTCTAACAAAGCAAACCTTCTTCCACATGAGTAAAGGGCACTTACACTAAACAGGCAGAAGAGCACAGGATTTAAAACAGTCTGAACAACAACAAAAAAAAATCACTTCCTATCAGGGTTGTGACAGGCTCAGAGATAAGAAGTATTTCTCTGCTCACCTGTAAAATCTTTCAGGAAAAAGCAAGCATACCAAATTTGAACTTTCCACTTAAGAACAAGCTGAGAAAAAGTATCTCAGTCCTCTTTTATACTTTCTGAAAAACCACACAGGGCACAAGTCGTGCTCCTTTTCCCCAGCAGATCTCCTTTAGCCTGGCAGCAGTGCCCTGGCTAATGCACCCCTTTGGCTCTGTGCTGCTGCCAGGTGGGTTTTGGGAGGTGCCCTGAGCATTTTGAGGGGAACAGGAAGCAGGTGCCTGGAGCCCCACAAATGGTACACGCAGCCTGCACCTCGGGGAAGGGCAGCACCAAAAAACCCAGCTTTTGTCTGAGAATAAATATCACCGAAGGAAATTACGTTGGGGAAGCTGCATGGAGATAATTAAGCTGTGTGTGGAGTATACAAGTTCTCAGGTAGTGTTTTTCTGTGTTGGGTTTTTTCCCCAAAACGGTTGATGGGCAAACAGTAAAATCAGTGCTTACCTTAAGGTACAGTGTGCAAGTGTTGCAGGCATTGTGAAACTAAAAATTCCAGAGTTATTTAAGGGAGCATACTGATGGATTGCTAGATCACATTCATTTTTTGTGCTCTGTGGCCAATTATGTGGAGTTACCCTATCCCATGTACATTGCCTGTGTGACAGTAAGCTTAACCCATTTCGTAAGATGTTTCCATGCTTCCTTTGTAGAGAGCCCTCTGTGTCAACACGTTCAGCTTGTGGAGCTTTTGCTACCTTTCTTGTGCTTCCATAACTGCAAAATTCTGTGCAAATGTGCTTCTGCGTTACAGGCAATATCAGGAGCACACAAATGTTTTTGTTAGTTTATACATACAGTAGAAAGTAGGATTTGCATCCACAGAAGTCACTGAGAGAAATGAGTTTTGTGGGCACAGGAGAGTTCTTTGGTTGTTTTTTATTTACCCTGTATGTAGGGAGAGATGTGACTGCTCCTCAGCAGCCTATTGTGTATTGAAATTGTGCCTGGAAACATCTTCAATCACAGAAGAACTGTCTTAACAGGATGCTGCCCCGTACAGTGTAACAACCTTATTATATTCTCAAAAATATTTCTCAGTGCATGAATTCACATATCTAAGTAATCATAAATAAGTCTAAATTACATGTGCCCAGAATAATGAGGAAAAACCCTGCCTGTGGACTTACTTATTACTTTTTCTTCTATTAACTTTCCACTAAGGTCCCAATTTGGCAGCTGTTCTGTTGGTCAGTGACCCATCTGCTGCCAAAAGCCACCGGTGGTTTCTGAGGGTGCAGGAGCCATCCCACACCCCTCTGCTGTACAGCTGAGGGTTGTGTAGAGTGTCTGCTAGCGAGGTGCTGTGCTGTGTTACACAGGAACATTTAGGAGCAGCTCAATACTAGAGGAGCATAGTCCAAGTTCTAGTGCTGAAACACTTGGAAAATTCTCTTTTGCTTCCAATAAGTGTTTTTAATGGATAGATAATGTTTTATTATTGGCAGAAATTACCTTTTGGAAGAAGTCTGAAAAGGAAAAAAAGGCAAATGATGCACAAATTTAGGGCCTGGATTTAGTCGTCTTGTCAGCTGTGTTACTGCAAACATAAAACATTTGTAGCACGCTTTTACGGGGTGATTCTCAAGCAGCCCATATATTCAATTTTTCTCATTTGATTGTCCCTCTTCTCCACTAAGGTGCAAGTCCTGCCGTTGCCACTTCCTCGCCCTCCCATCAGTGCCCAGGAGAGAGCTCTGGCTTTGGCAGTGGTGGGGACCAGTAGCCAGCCCTGGCTGGGGGGCACAGTGCCACCCTTGTAGCCTTTCCCCTCTGGTTTTTTTGGAAGGAGCTGAGTTTGAATGTGGTGTCCCTTTCTTTTAAAGCGACTTTTCTTTCCCTCACTTTTAAAGCGACTCCTGTTTTTTCCTTTCCATCCTCTTTGCCATCTGTCTGTAGATCTTAGTACACAGTCTGTTAGGTTTTGCTGATAAAGGTTTTATTAAGATTTATTTAATGATACTTTCAATCTTCCCCTCTTTAATCCACATTGGAAAAAAAATATTAAATAGTGACAGTCCATAGCTGCCTTGTAAGTAAATCACATTCACTTAACCCAGGAAAAAATGATTTCTAAAGAACTTCTTTCTGTCTCACAAGAGCTTAGTAGTCGTCTTGTTTATTATCTTGCTGTGGTTAAAATTGCCGCAGTAGGGGGGAAAAAGAAAAGAAAAATTGTTAATGCAGTTGTTTGTGTAGCTTGCCCTAGATATTATCGTTATCATTTTTTAATCTTTTTTTTTTCTAATGAGCAGAAGCAACTGTGAAAGGAGGAAATGCTGAAAACAAACAGTACAACTATAAATAAAATGAATTCTTTTCATGTGATGCAAGTCAAGGGAAAATCCTAGCTCAATACGCTCTGGCTTCTTGACACTCAAGGTGTGATCAGAGATTACTTATCATCCACAGGAGAGTGGGAAGCAAGTTAATTAAAATTTTCCACCTTTTCACTGAATGAAATGTCTCCCAGTTTGAGACGCATTATTTGAACACTTCTTTTTCAGTAGAGCTCTGGCACGTACTTTCTACTTCTGCTGGTGTTCAAATCCAATATTTGCTAGCTAGAAAGAGAATTGTAATTTCGTCTTATGAAACTGTATGTTTGAAATCTTATTTCCATTGTCTCAAACATGGTAGATAAAATAATTTTAATTATTGTATTAAATATAAAATGAATACAAGATGACTCTCTTCCTCTGCACCCGTCCCCCGGTGTGTTGTTTGTTTAGAAGCATTTTTGCTTTGGAAAGCATTTAATATGACACCAATTAAAGGTCTGTGACTCCTGCTGGCACACAAATTCCAGTCCTGGGATAGGATTATGACCAGCGATTCAGGAGGGGGAGGAAGAAGTCATTTCTTGTGGTCTTAAAGAAAGCTTCAATTACCTGTATTTGCAAGTAGGGAGCTAGAAGCCCATGTGAATTACACCTGTTTATTCAGGAGTGACTTCTTTCTCTTGTCTGTCATCTTCAAAGGCAGGGGATTGTTAGGAGCAGTTGATTCCCCTGGGAAGAGGTGTGGGGTGTGTGTGTGTGTGTGACTCCAGCGAAGGGAGCGTGTTACGGAGCGTGCAGAGCCGGGAGGAGGCGTGTGGACACCCTGCCTCCCTCCGGGCAGCCCAACATGCAGATGGTGGTGTCAGGGACCAGCACACACCAAAAATACGAGGTCACCTTTTTGTCACAGTTGTACAGCACTCTTTCAACAGGGTTTTTTACATTTCCAGATTATTATTTTTTTTTAATTCTTTAAGCCTAATCGACTCTAATTTGATCTTAAATTTATTTTCCAATAACTTTGCCCTTTTGAATGCATTTACCTGCTCTTTTCCTTTCTGCACCTGTGGGATTGTGCAGTACAGCATTGTCTGCTGCAGATGATGCTGACTCCTGACAAGTCAGACAGGTGGAAGCCAGCCGTGTCTCTGCTCAGAGCCTGCAGGGACAGGGGGCTGTGGCAGCACCGACAGCGCGTCCCTCAAACCATCGGGCTTCTGCAGCAGCCAAATGAGCTCTGCGTGGTATTGGTGTCCTTCCTCATTGCTGTAATCTTCCTCTGGTTTTTGACGTGTTCTGCACATCCTGATGCAAGGAGAAGGTTCCCCTTGCTAATGAACGACCTCAGGCAATGAATTCAAAACAGAAATCCTCTTTGCAACATCAGATGTTGCTTGGGGCACAAACAAGGTCTGCTGTGCCAGTCTTTCCCGACCTGCTAGTCTTCCACCCTCTAAATGAGTGAGCTCCTTCTGGTTTTTCCTCTACAAATGCTGTTTGATGGAGGGAGTGTTTTGGTCAGATGCTTTTAAGTGTTCTTCCAGACGCCTCATGGTGGGCTTGTCATGGTGGATGCTCTGACCTTATTCACAGTGCTCATGTTGCGTATTTTTGTCTTTATTTTTGGAAGGCGTTGGTGACCAGTCTCATAAATCTCAGCATGTTATTAATGTGTTTACTGGAGACATTAGCTCTTAAAGGCATCTAGATATGTCATAATTTTTGCATTAGCCTTGGACACTCTATTTGAAATACTGGAAAGAGGGCAGAAATATCCATCTTATGAAGGGAGGTGGGAGTCTGAGGAGACTGAATCTACCATGATCATGGCTGTAGGATAAATCCTGATTACTTCAGGGGACATGAGTGGTATTGCTCCCTTCTTGCAGGACACCTCCTCTCCTGGAGGTAGCAGTTCTGGTCTGTATGTGGTGATGTTCTAAGTAGCAGTATCTTTGTAAGTCCCTGAAAGCCTCTGTACAGAAATCAGAAGTAACATGAGTAGAGTGTTCTCTTGCGTGCAATTTTTGGAGTAGAATGTTTAAACGTCCTGCTTCTTAAGCAGGAGTGATACAGCTTCTTCAGCTATTTGCATTTGTACTCATGATCTGGTTTTTAATAGGTATAGTCTGGCAGTCATTCAGTTATGAAGATATCAAGTGACCTAAATTACATTCGTTGGAAGAAAGGAATAGCTGAGATTGGAATTCACTAAAATACCTTGAAATAACTACAGGAGGATTTGGATTAGTTCTGATCAAATGACTATTCTATTACTGTGGAATAAATGGATTTTTGGGAGCTGCAAAACTATTGTGCCTTACCCAGTGTTGAGAATTGGCAGTTAAAACTCCTTACGTGCACATGAAACCAGTGTAAGTGTCTGAGCTTTTTGGCAAATAAAATTGTTATTCCAATGGGATATGGTTACATTTGTAGAGACTAGTACTTACCATTTCCCTGCGTTGTGTTTATTAAAATCAAAAACTCGTAAATACGCTCTTGCATCTATTTGTTAAATTATTGGCAGTCTTGGCAATTAAACACCTCACTGGAGCAATCTTTGTTGAAACCACCAGTGGTTCTTTCTGTGCGAATTACAGGGTCTGCCATTTAGTAGAAAGAGAATTATCAAGGCTCTGCTGGGTAGATCTGCTGCTGCAGCCAGACTAATGCACTGAAAAGCAACATTTTTGGTCTCACCCACCGATTTTGTGATTCAAAATAACAAGGAAGCAATGTGCATTTGTAGGTGATAAAAGGAATAGACCTGTACTTACATTTTATTTTTGTCGTTGTTGGCTATTTTGCTTTTGATCCATCACGACAGAGTAACCCAGCTGATTTCAGGACAGATCTCCAGGGTTTACTCCAGCCTAGACAAGAGCAGAACGCAAGCAAAGCAACGGTGTCATTTTTTAACTGCTTGGATATCTTTTTGCTTGGGAGGAGATAATTGATAAAATACAGTGGATTTGTCCTGCTCAGATCTGGAATCGTGTGAAGCTAGATGGATGACTCAGGCAGTGTAAAAACAAGATCACAGATGTTTACCATTTTAAACAAACTCATTTAACAGTTTGTGATGTTCGGGTGATTGGTCCCATCTCTCATGTTTTCGAACGTTTTCCTTCCTGCCTCGCTGAACATACAAAATGACCCACTAGAGTACAAAAAACCCTTTCTCCCTCCCAGAAAACCCCCACACGTATTTTTCCATGGTTGTTTTTGGTTTTTTTGGTGTCATGCTGGATGTCACACTCCAAGTGATGATGCTAACTGTTGTTTTTTCTTTCCCAGGGAGTGGAAGTGCAGACAGATTACGTCCCGCTGCTGAATTCCCTTGCCATGTACGGCTGGCAGCTGACCTGCGTCCTTCCTACTCCCATCGTGAAGACAAACAGGTGGGGAGGGGACGGGCACTGCCTTCTGGCCGGGGGAGTCGCTGTGTGAGCACCACGGTCCCTACTAGGGATTCTCTGGGGAGTCAGTGTGGATTTCCTTGCTTGTGGGGAGTGGCTGCCCTTGCAAACGCTGCTGCAGCTTTCCTCTGGCTTCTCTGAGCATCACACGTGGTGTGGGGCAGGAAGCACGTGTCTGGCGGGCAAAATACTGCAGGGTGGCAGTGTGGTTTCTGCATGAATCTTCAGGGTATTGTTTCTGCCTCTCTATGAACCCCTTGATTGTAAAAGTCCTGCTCCGAATCCCCCAGTGACTCCTCTGAGAGCAACGACAAAACCTGTGATAACATTTGGTGTGAGATGCTGCTCACCTGAAGAAAAGTGATTTTATTCTTAATCAGTGTTTGTCTAATGCTGCTGGTATTCACCATCTTAACTCAGCAGAACCATGCAAGATTGGTGTATTACTCTAGTGGCCTTGTTGGCATATGGAATCGTTCTGTGGTCTACTTCACTAGTATTAAAATTCTGAGTTTTTAAATATAAGTGCAAGTAATTTAAAAATAGTCTTCATAACTGTGGTGAAAAATAATCATCCCACTTGTCAGTCATGAAGATGGTGCATTCTGGATTTTCACGGGTCAGGAATGGATTTGTATATTCATCAGTAATCAGTCATGGTTTTTTTGATCTTAAAAGACTAAAAATGTGCCCAGTTCTTTCTAAGATGTAGATGAAGTCTACTCCTACACATAAGAGCCGAAAAAGTAAAGGCCATCTGTGCGGGGGGAAAAATGGTATTTAAGTTTTTCGTATAGGTTTAAATATAGAAATGAATGGAAAAACATCATTGTGATTTGTCTCTTAAAGGTAAATATGGTTTTCTTTCTCCTGTAGCTTCCTGTATCCCATCTACAACTCAGTGACACAGGTCAGGCGGTGCAGAAGGGCGCCCACCCAGCCTGACCATTGGTGGTGTTTGGTTGTGCCTCCTGCCCAGCCTCCTGCAGCCCCACGGGGAGCCCCCAGCCCCGTTCCCCATCGGGAGGGAGAGAGGGAGCGCTCCCGTGTCGCGGAGACGCTGCTCACGCAGGCACCGGGGCCCTTGGGTTTCTTGATTTTGTTCCAAACAATTTATTCCATGTTTACACACTAACGCTAAAACATTCAGCAAAAGTGTGTCACAGGCTGACAGGCTCTATCAGGCTGAACAGTTGCTCTTTTTTTCCCCCAAAAATACCGGGCTGCTCAAAGACACTGGGGACAGGCAACGTTTAGGGCTTTCTTCATTTTGTTCTTTTTTGACCTGCAGAAATAAATGACTGAGATGGATTTTCGCTTTGAATGATGCTGGATATGAATTTAATTCATTCTCAGGAGTGTGCGTTTGTTTCTTTTCAGGGAGGGGAATTTATCTACAAAGCAAATTGTATTTCTTCAGAGACCTTCTCTGCCCCAGAAAGCAAAGAAGAGAGAATCTAAGGTAAATAACCTTGAGTTCCTGGTTTCTTTGGTTTTTGTTTGAGATATTTTAATATTGTAATTGATTTCCTGTCAAAGTAAAAATGGCCTGTGCAACGTTTCTGTGCTGCAGTAACAAGATCCAAGGAATTGAACTGTTCAAGTGAAACAAAAAATGCTCAAATGATATAAAAGCTCTTGCATTTCATTCTCTGTTGGACTGATGGCAGCAGAAGAGATGTTGACTTCTCTTTACAGCTGGGCCATAAACCTCCATACGTGACCTATAGTTCTCTGCCCATGTTCTCTGCAAAGTGGAACCAATACTGATTTCTCTCACCCATTGCCTGTCTTTTCTATTTAAATTGCTCTCTCTCTCTTGCTGCATGTTTCAATAGAGCCAGCTCGGGGCAGGCCTGATCTTGGCTGGTGTTTCTATCTATTGTGTGAATGTTAATGAATTCTACTAGAATTTAACCAAAAAAAGCTCCCTGAATCCAGCTAAATTGTCTAGGAGCATAGCTGTCAGCTAATGGTGTGGGTATATGGATACACATACGTATTCCCATTTCCATTTTAAAACGTGTGTCTGTGGGAAGGGCTGCCCAGAGCCGTCACGCTGTGCAGCTGAGAGGGAAACACAAGGACTGGTTTAAACTGGAAACGGGGAAGGTGCCGACCTTCCTACAGCATTTGAATTTGCCTTTCGGGATGTGAGGGATCAGAAAAGCCAGGTGAAGTATGGAAAAGCTCTCTGAAACCACATGGTAAAGAGGTTGCTAATTAATGCAGGCTGGTTTTCACTCTAGCTCCGTGCACTTCCTCGAGCACGGGCCGGGCAAATGTCCCCTGGAGGAGCAGCAGGCCTGAGGCCCTGCAGGCCCCGAGCGAGAGTAGGAGATGCTAAGCAGAGCTGAGCACAAGGAGCATTTCACCCAGCATTTTGGATAACTACAGAGAGTTTTCATCTCTAAACCCCTCACTGGTTTGGAGCCAGGCTCTGTGAAAGTCGTTGCAGATACAGTGGAGACCAGGGCAGTGTTTGAACTGACTGAAGGAGGAGAGCACGACTGAGCTGGGAGCACAACTGTGATTTAGGATTTACCCTCTCATTGGCGAAGCTGAGGCCCAGAGTATCCTGTGAACGTGTTACAAAGCTCATCTCTCTTGCTTTTTCTCTTTGTTTCCAGATGATTAAAGGGATCTTGGGATGAGGGTTGGGGTGCCTGTATTTGGTCATTCTTTTCCTACCACTGTGTGTGGCTTTAATGGGAAGGGTGGGAACCTGTAAGCAATTGTGTGACTTCAAATAGAGAAATTAGTGTGATACTGATTTCTTGCATTATAATAACAAATGCATACCATCCAGATGACTCAAAACTTTGTTTAAATTTTTTCATTTGGGGATATAGAAACTTATTTAACAATGTCTGGTTGACAAAACAAAGGATTTAGTTGTTGGCAGTATTAAATATACAGATGTATTTCAGGGCAAATATTACTACAGCACATTTTCATACCAAAGGTCAAGGAAGTACAGAATGAAGTACATTGATTATAACTAGATAAAGAATTGTAAGACCAGTTCAACGTCTGTAAGTGGTGGTTGCCAGTCACTTCAGAGATGCCAAACCCAGCATTTGACTAAGTTGCTGAATATTCTACATACACAACGTCACAGGCTCTCAGGGTTTTTTTTACTTTGTGATACAGCACATCTAAAATGTTTATAGATAACCCTATGGAGGACAGAATGGGCTGATAAGAATAAAAGGCCATTGCAGGTTTGGAAACGGATCCATCCTGTGTGTGCACAGCAGCTGCCTGCTGTTGGGTTTAGCCACAGGAATAAAAAACCACGCAGGGAGTGGTACAACTTACTTTTCAGTAAGACAGAAGCCCTCACAGCAGTGCAGTATTTGGTCAGTGCTGAGGTCATTGTCTTCATTCACTTTATACAAAAGTGATGCTTATTTCTGCAGAAGTGGGCTGTGTGTGTTTTTGTGAAATACAGTATGAACACCCGACACAGACATCTGCCCATAAAACACAGCGGCTCCTACAGCTTGATCTTTATCACATTTAGGGCCCTGATCTTACCTGCCATCAGAGAGAGCTGTAAGTTGAAGGGGAGCTGTGGGTGCACAGCACTTGTGCAAATCAAAGAGGAAAATATTCAGGTGTCTCTGAATTTTAAACAGTTGAGCTCTAGAACTGAGATGTTGTCTTTCCTCTTTCTCCAAATTGTAATGATATTCAAGACTAAGATGGCTTCCTCTAACTAAAACTGCCTTGTGAAAGCCAGTGTGTTTTTTTTTCTTTTTACATTAAGTTCTGGGTAGCAGAAGGAAAGAGCATTACTCCGTCTTTGTAATCTAATAAACTTAATAGGTTTTGAATGGCTTTTTGACTAAGGAATAAATAGCTACATCAAAAATTTATGAACACGAGTCCTTCTTTTGACCAACTTTGGCACAGATCTGGTTCACTGCAAGAAATGGCTTTTGGCCCACAGCTGAATTTGCTGCATGTGCCAATGGGGCTATTCCTGCCATCCCAACGTCAGCTCCCAGCCCATCCCTGAGCTTCCACCCGCGTGGACGCTGCTGCTGGCAGGGCTGTGCTCATGCTCTGTGCTGAGCACAGGTGGGGAGGGTGGCTCCGCAGCGGCCTGGGACATGGGCTGGCTTTCCTTGGGAAGATGCCTTTATTTTTTGACAAATGAAGCAGATATATTAGTGGCACGTTTGTCAGCCTTTATATATGTTACACCTGCCAAGGCAGTATTTCACGGTGGTGCTAGTTCCCTTTTTTTTTTTTTTTTAATAGTAGTTGAAGCGGTTCTGAAATGGCAGCTGTGTTAAGTCTTGTGGCGAGTGCTGCAAGAGGCAGCTTCGTGCTTTCTTACTAAAAACCTTTCATACAAATGGTTCAGAATATTTCACTGTTTGGATATGGTTTCAGGTGTAGTGTTAGTTCTGCTGCTGACATGGTGAAAAACCTTGGAGGAACGCCATGAGATCGCTGCCTCTGTCTGCCCTCGTGCAGCTTTGCATATTCTTGCTTTACACATTGAATTAAAAGTAAATAGTTGGACTAGGGGATCTCTAGAGGTCCCTGCCAACTCGGACAATTCCATGACTCCGCGAACCATTTCTACTCAGGAAAGCAAATGTCCATGTGAGACTGGATCCAGTGCTCTTTAACTTTTGGATCTCTTACTTACAGTTCCACTGGAGGTTCTCCAAAGACGACATGCACAACAAACAAGTGAAGAAATCCACGAAGGCCAAATTAAGCACTAGGGAGAAGCCAGTGGCAGAGGAGAAGCAGGAATTTGAGGTGACAGAGAACACAAGAAACTTGGAAGCGCAGATCTCAGCAGCAGGGAAGCCGGATCCGGAACAGCAGCTGGATCATGTCATAGACTTGGGAGATGAGGTGGCAGGGACCAACGACAGAGGTGCCCATCAGGACGGGGCGTCGGGAGAGACGTGTCCTGCCGACGACAGTGACACACAGGTGGGGCTGAGCCAGAGCCCGCCCGGCTGCGGTGGGGACCAGGGACCTGAGGTGGGCGACGGCGGCAGCGACGGGGCCGGGCAGGACACGGGCTGCCCCGGGGAATAGGACCCGGCCACGCGACACCGCTCCTGTGAGTATCCTCTGAGTCCCCACACTTGGCCAAGACACAAGAACAGGTCTCGCTGGTCACCACCGCTAACTCCATTGCTCGGTTCAACGTTTCTTTGGCTTGGACTCCCTTTGCTCCTTAGCACACCCCTGCCTTGGTGTTTTAAGGAACTGCAGGGCCCCGGCTTTTTACCCCACAGAAATCAACTGCAAAATTCCCTTTTACCCACTTTACAGAGTGGGAAATGCCCGGCGCCATCTCCTGCAGCTACACTCTACATTAAAAAGTAGGGACAGAAACTATCCTGGGGTTTTACTGTGACCGACCTGGGCAAACTGGGTTTGGATCTAGGTCGGGGCAGAGGTTCCGCTGGGTCAGACGTTACCTGTAATGCTTTCTTGTCCACCCATCTCTGCTGGAGAAGTTATGGCGCCGTATGTTACTTTGTCATTAAGCTTGTAGTGTCATGGAAATGGTATTTGGGCTTAAACAGGCTGAAATTGGAAAGCTTAGCTAAGATGGCTGGTATCTGTATTTATCTCCAATAGCATACTTACGGAATTTTATTAACTCTTGCAGATCTTTAAGCAATAAGGAAATTGTGTGCCTACTTGAGGCATGGTGGGTAAACAAACCCCACGGTAAACTTGTGTGAGGAGGGTGATTCCAATTTAAAACGCAATTTCCTGTTCCCTCACGTTTATGTTCTCTTTGCCAATCAACAGCTCATCAGTAGCTGTGGGGGCTTCAGAAGATAAAAAAACAGAAAACAGGTAAAAAGCAGGTAAAATGTACTTCTTTCAGTGGCTCTCTCCACTAAAATTGGAGTTAGATGTTCCCCCCGAGCCCTGCAGCTGATTCTGCAGCTCATCCTCACTGCGGCCAAACACAGGTGGGGAGGAACTGAAATTGTACACAGGGGTCCGTGCCCAACAAATGTCACTCAATGACCTTACAAAGCGCAAATACCTTAATAGAGGGGTTTTTTATACAAATAACCGTATTTTAGGACTGATACCTAACAGAATTCTGTAAAATTGCCAACATTTTTATGTTTGGAGCTACATGGAAAATATTTTCAGGTGAATGTATGCGTGTAATACAGCTTCTGTGCCAATGTTCATGTACTTCAGTATTCTTAAAAATGTAGGAAGTAGTTATTTCTCTCTTCTTAACCGCCTTCATCCCGACGTAGAAGTGGCCAAGTAAGCTGGGAACAAGGTGAGAAATACATTCTAAATTCCCCTGATTTTTGTTTTTCTAAAGCGAGAGCTCTGCAAGTGATTTGGTGTTTTTTTTTTCCCTTGACTCATTCGCTTCTGATAATTTTCCTGAGTCTTCAAATCAAAATGTTGTACAAAGAACTACGCTCTGCACCAAATGTGCACCTAGAGTGGTTCAAAAGCATCTTCCACACCTCAAAATTACACAGTTGGCAGAAGAGAAAAATGACAGCACTTTGAATATTCATCTAATTGGGACAACGGCACTCAAGTTGAAACCATTTGATTTCACACACACAAAGCACGGTGGTATTTTTTTCATTGCTTAAAGAGTTTTTATTTTTGATTCAGTGGTTTAACCGCAGGACTGTAACTGACTTCAATTCCTAGTGGTATTCTGCAATTATTGCATTCTGTTTCTTGAGATAAAACTGAAGTTCCAATAGCCCCCAAAATAGGTTGTTTCAGTTGTTCTACCTAAACACAAGGTCTCTGTTCTGTACAGTTTTAAGTACTTGTTTGCAGATTTTATTAGTGTAAGATCCTTCTACTGATGGTTTCTATCTCAAGGACTAGCTTTGTATTAATCTTGTTTAAAAATATACTGTATTTAATGAACATTTTACTAGTAGAAAGTGTTGCAGTAGAAAGAACTCTCCACATACTTTTGAATATAAAGCATTTATTGAATTGCAGTTTGACCTTGTTTAACTGGATGCCAACTGCTTTACAAAACGAAAGAGAAATAAAGGTCATGAGGAGATTTCTTATCTGTGGTCCTTGCGCCACCACCAACAGCTTGTGGGCAGCAGGAGGCTGTGGGGCCCTCGGGGTGGTGCTGCAGGTGCTGCAGGGAAGCCGCTCGCTGCTGAATGAGCTGAAGTCACCAGCGCTGGAGAACCCGCTCCTCGGTTTTCTGTTGCCCACCTGATGGAGCATGTGAGGCTCGATGGGGAAGTAGCACTTGTTTAAGTGAAAACTTGACGTAAAACTTTGTTCCTTTAAATGTCGGGGTGGCTTAGGGTTGGTAAGATTCATTTCAGTGTAAAAAGGGTGAAAGGTTTGGGGTTTATAGTCACATAACCAGTTCCTACTTGTGACTTTGAGTGACTCTGGGTTAGCTGAGGTGCCTGGAGTCGTGTGTCGCTTCCACCACCATCTCCCTGTGGGCTGGGGGCCGGGAGGGCAGCGTGGGGCACAGCAGCGGCTCCCACCACCTCCAGTGCAGCCACCTGCGCCATGCTGGGGCTTGCAAAAGCCAGGCCACCAGGGCGGCCAAGGAAGTGAAAGCAAGAGGCCATCACCTTATTGAAACCTGAATGGAGAAGAGAAAGGGCCGGGACAGAGCTTAACTCCTGGGTCGGAAAACACCTGGAGAGCGGAGAGAGCGACCGGATGCGGGAGAAGCTGAAACGGGAGTCTGGCCACAAAGGTACAACCTCAGTCTGCAACTCACGGGGGGAGGAGAGGGCTCTGTACCGACTTCTCCCTGGAGAAGCCACAGTTACTCTGGGCCACCAGCTCCATAGCGGGTTTGTCACCCCCAGCAGACGGTGGAGAGAGAAGCCAGGCCCTTTCCTTTCCCACAGAGAGCCACCATTTTAAACCCAGCCCATTTTTCCCCCCAAACTGGGCAGAATCTCCCAGTAAGGGTGCGAACTGCTCTTCCCGTGCCCTTCTCCTGAGGGAAGGAGACACTGGTGTGTGTTGCTGGTGTGCTCAGGGAAGGAGCTGATGGTTGCACTGCCACGTGTTACCAATGCCAGCTGGTGCCAGCGACACAACAGCCACGTGCAAGGGGCACTTGGGTGAATTGTAACAGGAAGGTGTCCTTGTTAGACCAACAATGCTCAGGTGTGTAGAGCGGTCCTGAGAGTGGCCTCTCCTTGAGGGAGGAGCCCACAGGGTACTCTGACAGGAGAAGGAGCTGCACTGGTGTCACCTCAAGGTGATAGTCATTAAATGGGGTAAGTTCAGAGGAGAAAATCCAGCTCAGGCAAGTGAGGGAATGTGAGAGGCTGGATGAAGATGGCAAAGAGGAGCAGCTGAGGCTGGATGAAGAGGGCAAAGAGGAGCAGCTGAATTAAATGAAGGATGGGGGCAGAGGGGTAGAACTTAAGGGGTAGGAAGTACTAAATGTTGAAGCATCATAATTAAAATAGTGTATGTAGAGTTTAGGAGGGGTTAAATGCACTAACGATTTGACTGGCACTTCATCTCAATTATTTGATTTGTGCACTTGAAAACAGAATCATTGAAATACCTCAAAGTGGAAATGAAGTGAAGCACAAACCAATATACTTTTTTTTCCCCCTAATTTGGCTCCTGCCGGCCGCAGTCTCTGAGGTGAGCAGAGCAAGGGCTCTGCATTGGGATCCCCTGCTTTTGCTTTGTAGTTGCTGTGAGGCTGTAGGTTTGCCTCAGGGAGCCAATTATGGGGCAGAAATAAAGCACCATCAGCTTTTCATGCAGGAATTCCCTCCTCCCAGAACTGGAGAGTGCAAGAAGAGCAGGTACTCACTTCTTGCTGATACAAAAGTAGGAGGAACGTCAAGGCACCCAGGAGTTAAGAGTTGTGGATGCAATGCCCGTGTCTCCGAGGCTCAGAGATGTGCCTCTGGCTGTGGATTCCTGCCAAAGCCCCCGTCATGAGAGGTGCCCAGGGTGTGGGATGTGGCAGCTGACGCCAATCAGCACCTCACTTCTCTGCCCAAGGGGCAAAAAGAGGCTTTTCAATGTAAGTGCTTTCTGTTACTCACTCTAAAAGCACCCTACTAACTAAGATGATGTAATGATAACTGAACAGCCACTCTTTTTTCCAGTAATGAATGTGAATCCTATAGGAATATGTCATATTTGTTGTACCAGATGAGCACACAGCAAACTGGTAAAATAAATGTCACAGGAAGGAGAAGAAGATTCAGTCTAATAAGGCGGTAACTCACAAACCATCTCACTAAGTTAAATATAGACGGACACATCTCACTCATAGTTTGTTGGGGAAAAAAAAGTGTCTCAAATCACTGCTCAGCTGGTAACAGAAATCTAAGAGTAATAAGTCTAAGATTCCATGTTATGATTCAGCAATGTGATGAGGCTGTTTCTCCAGGTCAGTAGCTGCTGAAGAGCAGGCCTTGCTCTCCGCTCCCCTCAGCATAAGCTCGTATCACAGGTAGTTATTTGTACAGCACATGTTTGCATAGGTTAATTTTTCCTGGGTTTTTTCTTTCAATTATGGTAGAGTCAGACCAATAATAGACTTTAAGGTAAAACTGATGTTTCACTACAAGACCACTAGTTCTAGAAAGAAGAGTCTTCTGAAAGATTCGTGTCAAGAGGAAAAGGCTATGGAGATCGGGGATGTTCACAACTTTCCTGGCTCGGAAATGGCATCTGTGCCCATTGGGTGACGGTGCTCTGTGCCCTCCGGCAGGAAAGCGGCCCAAGGTAAGGAGAAACAACTTGTTAACAGTTGAGATGGGGGTTGCTGCTGTTTGGGGGGAGGTATGAGACATTATTTTTCCCCATCTTTTGGTGCAGTGAGTGTGTGTGTCTGCGTGTGTGTTTCATACTCTTTAGGTGGGTGAGCCTGTACAATTAGAGAGATATCTGTAGGTGGGTGAGCCTGTACAATTAGAGAGATGTGTCCTTGCCCCATTGGGCTCAATCTGAGTATAACAGGGGATGACAGAAAGAGGTTAGAAGGAAAGAGGCTGGTTACAGAAGCAAAGGGTTTTGAAATGCCTTTTGTTAAATGGACGTTTTGGTGGAATCTGAGAAGCGGTTTTTGAAAGAGATGTTATTCGCACTGAAGAAAGCATGTGCATTAAGGGAAAAAAGGGTAAAGCAGTTTATAATCCACTTAATGATTTAAAAGTCATCAGGAAAACAACATTTAAAGGCTTCTCAGAATCTTTTTGTGATTACACTGTTAAAACATGCAGGAGCCTGGTGTGTGGTTTTTATTTTAGGGCACCAGTGCTTCCCGATAGCAATTTATTGCACATTTCTAGGAGAAAAACCTGCTTCCTTCAAGCATCAAGCTCTGACATGTCAGTTGCAATCTCTGTGAACACAAAGCCCCTTTGGTTTTATTTTTTGTGACAAGCTCACTGTCCTATTTACATTCTAGACTGAAGGAACAAGGAGCCATTCCTTGAAACAGAGCTACTCAGAAAGACTCTTCCTCTCATTCCAGCAGGAGGGAATTTGATGAGCCATCCCCTCCGGCTCCGCAGGGACTCTGAGGGGGCACTCCCGGTACAGAAGCACAGGCAGAAGTGGAGGAGGCTGCAGGCACCAGAAGATGAACACCTACAGGCAAACCCTCATCATAAAATCACAGTATCCTCCCCAAAAGGCAACTCTTTAAGGCCCCTCATTCAGAGCTCACCTCTTCTGTATCCAAAGTACAGCCTGTTTCCTTAAGTTGTGTTTGTTCTAAGCCGTAAGTATGGATTTTTCTCTTTGAAGCTCAGTTTGCTGAAAAGTTCTAGGGTTAGTTCAGTTAGTTGTTCAATCAACTTCTGCAACAACTACAGCAGTGTTCTTCCAGCAAGGGCTTGGAGTTTCCCAGCTGGGCTGTCCCACTGATCTGTGAAGATGAGGTGAATGTGGATGTGGCAGCAGGTATTCTACAAGCTGTAAAACATACCAGAGACTGATAAAAAGAGGTTAAGACTAGAGGCTAAACTCAGCGTTAAAGAAGCTGAAATGATGTCTTGGGAGAGAACGACAGCTGGGCCAGAGGCTGCTCTGGCCACGCACTGGGATGTAATCCTTGAAAAATTAAGTGCTTCACACCGAGAGCACTGTTCCAGGCTGGAGACCAGCTGATGGGCTCGGAATCTTTGCAACCTCTGTTTAAGGCAGGTTGGAAGGATGCTGATGGCAAGAAAAGTTGCTGTATTACCTATTAGACTATTGTCAGGAAAAGAGCTACTAATGAAGAGAAGGTCTTATCTCTTTAACGTTTTTAATAATTCAATAATAATTTAGTATTTTTAGTAATTTACATTTTCCTTCTTGAGGTCTTCAAATGTACAGTAGGAATCTCTGCTACGTAAGTAAGGACTTGAACTGTCTATGCGAGATAATTAACTCATCGTGGTTTTTTGTTATTCTGAACATTTATATGATGGGTTTTTCTACAAGTTGAGGGAAGCAGCTTTGTTCAATAATAACAAACCACAGAGAAGTGGTTTTTTTTCTTTTAACAAGAAGTGGTAAGAGAAGGAAGTCAGAACACAGCAACTCTACTTCTATAAAAATATTAATTTATTAATGTTTATATTAATTAAAATATTAATTTATTATCTAGGATGGGAGAAGGCAGTGTGTTGACACATTAGCACAACAATTTGGAGCGGATTCAGAAGTTGTGGCCTGAATTGTTATTTATTCTAAGCTGACCTGGCGTTGCTGCACACCCCATTCTCAGGCACTGGCAGGCTTCTAAAAGCTGACTAACAAAGCAAGTGGATGAAGTGAAAATAGGCTGCCACCCGTAAAAAGTCAGCAAACCATCAAAAACCCCAGAACAGTTAACGTCTTTAATATAAAATCATTTTTCCCCAAGAGCAGCAGCACTGTATGACAAGTGTATTACAGTTAAATTAAAGGAACGCCACCATGATTGAGGACATCTTCATGTATGAAGTAAAATCTTCCAAATAATTCATAGTCCATTCTCTGTACATTCCAGTGTATCAAATAAACAAAATTATCTCTTTCCTGTTCAGCAGGTGTCACTACCACCATTTCTCAAAGAAAACACAGTTTCTAGGAACACCAATGTTGAACAGTAGTTTGGATATAGATTCTATCATTGGAGGTGGGCCACAGATGTACCATAAAGTATCCTTAGATACATGTTTTTCTAGATCCTTTTCAGATATTCTTCCCTCTGACAAAGAAAAAAGTAGGGAATGAGAACAGAAATATTAATCGTGAATTAATTTAAGGAAGAATGACTGATTAGAGATATTTCAAGTACTCATTTCTTAAAAATGCCAGGCCTCTTTAAGAATAATAGCTATCGAGATTTGAAGCTTCCAAACCCATTTGTTCTTCTGGGAATTAAGATCAGTATTTCCAGTTGGAATGCATGGGATATTAGTCACTGAAGAGCAGCATGGCTTACATACAACTAGAAATCCCACATTCAGATGGAAAAAAAGAAAGTTATCTCTAACACAAACACGACAGAAATAGGAACACAACGAAGTATCTCTTACAAGCAGTCAGCTTATCCTTCAGCAATCCCGCCTCACGCAAAGCAAATACTTTGCTTAATAGTTTCTGGAATAAAGTTTGCAGCGGGAAATAAAGCTTAGGATTATCAGAGGAGGTTACTAGAAATGAAAACAAAAACTGCAAAGGGAAATTTTTTCTCCAAAGTGTAGTATGTACACTGAAATTATTTAGGTTTAGCTGACATCTCATTTTGAAACTTTAAATGTAAAAATACTAAATTATGCATACACTAGAACGAATTATATTAAACTTCATCCTCTAGGATGTAATCAAACTTAGATGTTAGATACCATCTCTGTGCATTGCCATTATATTTACCTGTAACATGTGGCTGAAGTTCTTTACAGATCTGTGAACTCTGCTGGGTAACGTGGAAACGACATGTGATCTTTCCAGGAAATGCATTCACCAAACCGAGAATATTTTTCTGTAATGTTAAACACACTTGCTTATACCACAGGCCAGTAAATCAAAGCAGATGTTTGCATTCCATCCCACCCCACCAGTCACCTCTTGCATTTCAGTGCTGAGAACCTGGTGAGCTTGGTTTCACGGGGCTGACCTGCACACGTACACACAATTTCCACAGCTGGAATGCCAAGGCACGACCAGCTACACTGCTAGTGCTCTTCTCCTTTTTTACAAGAGGTTGCAATTTGTAAGATTGGGATCTAAGAACCGGTTATGTCCTTGCCTGGTTCTTCCCCATATAAAGGCTCACATTTCCTCCTTCCACTTCCATATGGGGTTTCCATTTAAAAAAAAAAAAACAACCCTGCAGATGGTATTTACCATTTGTTAGGACCTTTTTGAGTACTGATTGCTTTATCTGGTAAGATGACTAGACCTTTACTCTCTTGTGTTCTCCAAGTAAAACCAACTACAGTGTAATGCTATTTTTACCGGAGTAAACTGTAATTTTCATTTCACTAAGTCACAACTGTGGCTTCAGTTCAAATCATAGTAAAAAAAAAAATAAATCTGTCAGTCAGATGCTGCAGTTAGCGCTGAAACGGAGATTCATTTACTGTCTAGAATCTGCACTAGTTGGGATTTTCACTGCTGGAAACAACACTGGAAATTCCTTCTTAAAATATTCTGAAATAAAAATAACTTCTACTCTGTGAATAGGTAAATTAGCTCATTGTGTTTGCTTACTAACTAGTTACTACACTGCACAGTCTGCCGTGGGCGGCTTAACAAAAAGAAACCCAGACAGATTCTACTTAATAGACAAATCTGTTTCTGATTTCTTGAGAAGAGCTGGAATGAAGAGCAGCACAGACAGCCGCTGCTGGACATTCTCCCACTAGTACCTCCAGTACTCCTACCCTGCCCGGCTGTCACTGTCCTGTCCCCTTTATATGGAACCACATACAATTTGATAGCACTTTTGAAACTAATCATGTCCTGTTGAGTTCAAGTCCTAGGACCAAGCCAGAAAGCATGCCTAAGGTGGGACTCAACCTGCTTAAATAACCCTGCAGTACTATTTTCTAGTATCCTAGGACAAGAGACAGACTTAACTGAAGGAAGGAGTGAACCTGCTTGCTCAATGCTCTGCACAGAAGTGAAAAATGTTCATATCCATGTTCTGGATTTGAGGGACACGTGAAGAACGAAGGGAATGATATATTGTAAGCACTGCTTACGCTACATGTCATTGCTTCTGGGACAAAAGAGCACACAGTAATGCAAAAGCTCTGCTGTCCTAACACTGGTGAAGCGACGCTCAGGAGATGCTAGCTCCAGAGCACGCTCGGGGCAGAGTGGAAGATCAGTAAGTTGGCCAAATGGAAGAGCAGGTAGGTTCCAGTTTATTGATCTGCTTCCAGCAACAAACAAATGACTTTCCAAAGACAGCAAACAACTTCCTATCTAAAAATATGGCAGAAGTACAGAAGAAAAACTCGTAATGGATCCTATACACAGTTTCTGGAATCACGATAAGTTTTTTTTGCCTTTATCTTACAATCAAAGGCTTTCAATACTTCAAGGAAATCTAAATCATTAGGGATGCTTCTTTACAGAAGCTGTGCTAATTTGACCCTAAAAAGTTATCAGTGACCCTTAATTGCTGAATGTGACAACTGATCTTTACCTGCTAAGGAAACATTGATTAAGTATTATGACAAGCAATTTTACACAAAGTACTTATAAATCCTTCATTCCTGGACTAACCCAATATTAACCAATGCAGTATCAATAAAGCTCCTCTATTATTTTACGAAGTATTTCCTTTGGATATAATTGCTCTCACTAATCTTTAAATTCAGTAAAGTCTGTACTGAGATGATGGGGTTATAGCATTATGCATACTATCAGCGTGTATATACACATATTATAGTATATATAATCTTTAGTATACTGTATAAGACCATACTATGATGGTCTTATAAGATTATACTCAAATGCAGACATGTAGGGCTGACTTACCAGTGAAGTCAATGAGGCCAGTGATGTCCAATAACATCCTCAATTTGTACAGGGGCATAAGTAATTAAACCACACATGGGGTTTGAGGTAGGAAGGAACTTTTGTCTCTGTTTCTACAGTGTCTTACACAGAGGGGCTCTCTGGAATTTGGCAGCAGAATCAAACACACACTAATAGCTGTGATCTATTTAAAAAAAACAACTTTTAATTTACCTTAAATAAGAGTTCGCTTGTGTTTTTTGCACTGTAGTACAGCTTCACTGTTCCCATTTTGTATCCATTTCCTTTACCCTCTTGGTATCCCTGAAGATCTGCTATATGCAGCAGTATAGAAAACAATGGGTTAATTCCAACACCCCCTGCTATCAGCACTAGGTTTACAGGGGAGTCACCAGGCTGAGGATCAAAGAAGAAATCACCTCCCACTCGCAGAGCCACTTCTGAGTCAAGAGTACACTAGGATGGAAAAGAAGATATTTAATTTCAAAACTAAAAGCAAAAATTGAAACATAATTCTTCTTTCACCACAGTCACAAGACTTGTTGAGCTGTGATTGTTTTTATTTTTATTGCCCAGTGAGGGCAAACTGAAGTCCTTTAAAATCAACGCAGTTTCAGCTATCTGCAGGAATCTGCTTCAGTGTCTCTAGGGATCTAGTTCCACTTTGAGAAGTTTCAGTCTTCTGATAAGCCTGGGTGGTGACTCCCCTTCCCACTCCCATAAGAGTTGAAAGAGGAATGATTCATGCAAGAGTTTTTCCACCAGCAGTATGTGGTTGTGAAAACCCAAGGTTAACATGTGAGATGACACATTTACCCAAACCCAGTCATGTCAAAAAAGGCCTTGCTATGAGATCACAAAAGGAAGTCAGAATGAGCTGCACAGAGGCAGAAGGTTTTTCCATCCCTATTCCTAAAAAATAAAAAACACCCAGAAACGAAGCAAGTATCCAGAAGAATATTTCTTGCAAAACCACTTCTGCATTTGCAACCACAGAGCTGCAGAAGAAAAACTACAGGAAGACCTTCTCTCTTCCTCTCCACTTGTACATAAGAAATACTTCTTAAAGAAATTTGCCAATACATGTTTTTTGATACATGGAAAACCAAAGCTACAACAACTAAAACATCTGAGTCAATATATTCTTGGTAAACTAAACTGCATCCCTGTATGAAGGGTGAAACTGCAGTACAGAGAAGTCTGGCCAGTTGTCCCACATCGCTGTAAGCCAACAGAACAAACAGAAGCAGAAAACAGAACTCATTTCAGATCATATTTAGGGTTTAAAAATAAAAAGGATAAGGAAGCGAAGGGAGGTGGGAAAGAAGGAGAGGAAAAAAGAAGTAGAAGCTACAAGAAATGTTGAAAAATTAGCAGTTAATAATTTACAGAATAAAACCACTTGATACAAAAAAATCCTTTTGCTATCAGGGAACAGTCATGGAAACAAAAGGATTTCCCTTAATGACACCTGTATAGTAAGCAAAGGTCTAAACATAACAATTCCACCAGGAGTAAGAAGGAGGCCCCTTGACACAGAACTGCACACAACACAGAGATTCCTACAGTAATGGTCTCATGACCATTAAAAAAAAGTTTTTTGCCTTCCTTAATTATTGTTTCAAGTTTTATCCCTCAATTATAGCATAAGACAATCAGAATTTATTACCTGAAACTAATTTCTCTCTCCCTTTTCAATGTACACTGCCAGGCTTTCCCACCATGTTCTCCTTTGTTTTAGAGAACACATGAATCCAGAAGTGTTCCAGATTCATGAGGCAGAAGGACGACATAGAATATGGCATCCTTTGTGGAAATAAGCATTTTTAGAGAGAAGCAATCTCATTCTTGTCCAATCTGCCCCCTTAACCAGCTGTAGCTCATCAGGATGGAGAATATGACACAGGAAGACTCTCTCTTACCAGCAGTCTCCCACCTATTTCAGTCTGTTAACCATGGCAATGATGTCAGTTTTCAAAAAAAACCCAATAAATTGTAGAGTAATATGGTAAGAATGCATTTTCCTTTAACCTAGTTTGTAAGTACAGCATTGAAACAGCTTATAGAAATAAAGCAATCTTTAAATGTACATTTTTCTAAATAAAAGGCTGTATTTTCCTAAGCTATAAAGTATACTGCACTGAATTTTATCATTTTATATACAGTAATATTAAAGAATAAATATAAATACCTTTGAAAAAAGTGAGTAAATGAGTACTAACTATTCCCATAACATCTTTTACCCTGACATACCAACTTCATTTATAAATAACTTTAATTTACATAATTAAGTTTAAAATAAGTACCAGAGATTTTTCACCATATATACAACCTTTTCAAATTCTAGGTTGCTTTTTTTTTTTTCTTTCCTAAGGAAAAGCATATGCTTTTGTTCAGCTAGAAGAATCCATATATACCCTGGAGATTTCTCCACAGCATTGGGTTCAACCTAGACTTACCCGCTAACTGAAGATTTTCCTATAAGTTCAACCAGAAAACTCAGCAACAGCAAACCAATTTAAGACCTAAAAAATCCTAAAAGACCCTTCAGAGATTGGGAATTCTCCAAAGAGCAATACCAAACCCCACTCAATCCTTTTAGGTATGATGTCGTCTGCTGGCACATACACTACAAGTTCTACACAACACCTCCAAAAGGTTATTTTGTTTATGTTCCAGAGCAGATAACTTGCTATAATTAAAATACTGGGGATGGTCACATGCCAATTACGAGATTAGCACCACTTTGGATATTCTCAATTCTAGTCACTTTGCATCAATCTTTACTTTGTCAGCCACTGCACAAAAAGGCAGTATTTATAAACCTGGAAGAAAGTGTCAATCTAAACCTTGCAGCCACATTTAAGAAATACAAATGCCAGGCAGTAAATAGGACAGATCACAGGGGGTTGTGAAAAGAACAAGAGCTGATAGGACAGGTCATCTATGAAATATGATCAGCAGCAGAAATAGGACTCTTCTGACTGTAACTAAATGGGGTAAATGCACGAACAAAACATTGCAAGAAGTCAGTGTGTCAGACTTTACTTTTAATATTGCAAAAAATCGAGACTTGGGTTATGTCAATATTATTAAAATATTGCATATTTAAAAGAATGCTGTAGAAATTCTGAAGTAGTCTCTTGTTTTATCATTTCAGAAAAACTGATGTAAGTAGCTCCCTTTGCTCCCCCTTAATAATCTATATTTGTTTGTATCTGACAATGATTTCCAGTTTGTATTTGTAGAAATGGCCAGGAACGATGGCAATTTATCAGATATAATTTTGCAACGTGTAACACAGCCTGTTCTCAGGGACACAAGTTAGAACAGAGGTTTTTCACCATTTTTCAGCTCATGAATTCCAAAGGAGTGAGAAGCCTTAAAAGCATTAACTACAGTATCACCGTAAATCCACCAAGCACAAGTGGAGTCAAAAGATCACAATAACCATATTCCCACATAAACATCCAATTTTGGTCCCTTACTGAATAAAAGGTTTTAAGATGTACGTTGTATTAAAAATGGTTGAACAAATCAACAGGAGTTTTGCAGTCAATAGTAAAAAGTGGTCTAAAATGACACACATCACCCTCTTCACATCCCTCCCCCACCCCCAATAATTAAAAAAATAATAATCCAAATCTCACAATCACAAATCTCATTTACCTCAGTGTGAATCCAGTGAGCAGGAGGATGAACAGTGTGCTTTACTGCCAGCTCTAATACTCCTTCTTGTTCCAACAGGCGAGGGCTTGAACATATTGAGAATCCTCCAACTACAGATACTCCAGGAATAAAGAAATCAACCCTAAATATAGACCAGAAACAAAGGTTTAAAAAAAAAGCCAACAACCCCAAACATGGAAAACAATAACAAAAAAAAAAGGCTGCCTTTGTTCCAATTATCCTTCCTTTACAAAGACATCTTCATTTCCATAACATAACTTTTCCAAAAAAGGACTTAATCTTGAGTAACACCATTTCTTTAGAATTATTTTCATCTAGAAACCTGTCATCACCTTTGTTAAATAGCAGGTTTTTAAACCATTCTGCTTTTAGCATTAGACGCCACATCTAACAACAGACTAGAATTCTAAGTGTTTAAATAAATTATTTGCATATTAAAATAAAAATACAATATGGTCTGACAGAATGGCTTAAATCTCACTCTTTTCGGTCCCTTTGATGGGCTCTTCAATTTTCAGACATAAGAAGATTGGAAAACTAATTTTAAGGAAATGACTTTTGATTAAACGCTTTATTTTCTTAGGAAGATGAAATATCTGAAGTAAAACCACTGTCAGTAACAAATTTTCTTACGTGAAAAATCAGTTACTAGAAGCAGAATTGCTTTACATATTGAACTGCAGTGCCCTCTGGTGGCAGGTATCTTTTCCTAGTTGATAGAAAACTGAACTAGTAATAAATTACTACAATATTTTTTAAAATTAAAGTCAACCACGTATGAGCTTCTACAGATTGGAAGCTAACATATAGCTATGCTTTTGCAACACCAGCAATTAGAGAGTATGGAAGGCAAGCCATTACTACACGGGCTATAATTAATTTTCATCAAAGTAAAGCTTTGATATTCTAAATAGTATCAGAAAAAATTAGGAGTCTGTTTATGATCTAAAATTTAAACTCCTTGGTGTTGCATAAATCTTGAAATACTTCCACTTTCTACAGCACATAAAATCCCTGTATTTCAAAGAAAACTAATGTTTAAAATGAATTTTGCTGCTCAATGTAAGAAACTGCCCAGTACTAGAGAACCATTATTCGATTCGAGCCCGAGTTAGGCTGGCTCGCTGTTAGTTAAATGAGAATGCAACAAGAAAAACAGCCTCCACTGCCTTCCACTGCACAGATACATTCTTTAAACAGCAAGGCTGTATTCTTCATGGTGATCACAAATTCTTGAGGGAGGAGAGAAGCACTTTGAATAGTTCACTCTTTTTATAAGAAAAAATCTTCCCTGCTTACTCCACACAAAGCTTCACCCTTCAAAGAAAAATGTCCCTTTTTTCTCTCAAAAAAAACATACAAAGTGTGATAGACACAATACTATAGTGATAGGATTTTTAACTTTATGCTAATACCTTTATACACAATCAAGTTTATCTGAGTGCAAATGAAAGGTCATCAACCAAAAAAGAGTTGAGAAGGCTTGTTTTGCCGTCCTCACCATCTGCAGCCCTACTGACCATGGGACTCAGCCTTCCTGGGGTAAGGATCTAAGAGATTAGAAAGGACCACTCCAGTATTGCAACATTTATTGTATCAAAGAACACCTCAAGATGCTACTAAAGCTCTTCACCACCCTCTGGTGGAAAATAATCTTACTACTTACATTACCGGAAAAAAAAATAATAATTGCATTTATGCTGTAAAGTAACAATTTACATTCAAGTCAAAATGTTCTGCTTGATATATAAGGGAAATATTACTGGTGCCTGGTGGGGAAACATACAAACCCAAACATTGCTGTGAAACTAAACCAAACATAGTTTTTACCTTTCTGAAGTACTAATGTACATATGTTTCTTTCTATTTAAGTATTTCTTTCCCAATTACATAATTATGAAAGATTTCGGTGCATAGTATACTATATTATAGTGGACTAGCTTGTATTTCTGATGGCTTGTCTCAGCTGTGTGTAGGAAGGATAAGAGACTCCTGAAGAAACGCTACCTGTTGCAGCTTAACCACTAACAGTAGTTGTAGGGAAAACAAACAAAAAACCAACCTATATAAACCCACAACAGAGAGGCACAAAAAGATGTAAAACAGAGATCTTATAGTGGTTTTTCATTTCCCTCCTTTTAAAGGCTACCTCAGCCAAATCTTTAAGAAAAGAAGAACCATTAACCATTGCTGGAGGAAGAGATCAGAAAAATTAAAACCATAAAGCTACTTCTTCAAAGTATTTATAATATGCATATATCTCAATGCATGTTTTAGTAAATCAAAATGAGTAACAGTTCATTATTACTTGAGGTCAGATAAGGACCGATTTGTGCTTGTAAAACAAATTCACTTTTACTTCTGAAAAACTTGATAATTAGAACATTTTCAAAAAAATATATATATTTTAGTGAAAATCTCTGGCTATAACATCTTCCTATATCAAATTCTAACAAGTTAGCCTTCTCTACTCAGGAAACTGTGGTCTGGTATTTTGTACTGCTCATCAAAAAATGCAACCGCAGTTTATAGCTAAAAGTATGTAAAAGTTGTTGTATCCCTTAGAATACTTTCAAGGAAGAAGAAAATGAAAAAGAGTAATTATAATTAAAGCTTTCAGTTTTCAGCATGATAATTTCTAAACATTTCTGGAGGGTAAATGCACTTTCCAAGTACTGGCAAGCAAGAATTTAATATGAGTCACTGCACATGTGCAAAAACTGCAGCAAATTACTCCACAAACAAATTATTGCAATCAACATCTTGTGTTCTGGTTCTAAATTTAAAAGCCAGCATATTAACACTACATGAGTAACATATGCTGTTAATACCCTAGCAGCTATACTTTGATTCCAGCAAAACCACTTTCAGATGGCCCAAGCCAATAAAAAGTTTAAGAACATTTAAATCACCAATGCCAAAAGCAAATACTCATAGTTTGAAATTAATTTTTATGAAAAAAAAAAAAAGAAGTGATTGAGTGGGAGAATTTTTAACAAGGAAGGAAGACAACCATGAAAACCCACTATTTCCCTGGGAAAAAAAGGTTGCTTAAACAAACTACCAGTTATTTCAAAGGCTTAATAATTCAAAGGTTTTTATTTTCAAGTTTGCCTATCTATATTTATACATTAATCTGACCAAACAAGCTTAATTTTCAGTGGTAACTTCTAGGGGAAGAAATCAAAGTCAACAGGCAATTCTGACTTAATTATAAACCTAAACTAAGTAACTTGCAAATCAGCAGCAGTCCTCCACTGTAAAGATAACTAGTAAATAAAGACAGCTTGCAGTGTACTTCAAAGTATTGTTGAAGAAACAACATAATATATATAAACCAGAGGAAATTACTGAAACAATCAAACAAAGCATTTAAAGAATATTTTTTTCCCCTTTTAAAACTAATTTTAGCATATTTAATAATGGCTATTTTAAAATTATGTGAAATATCAGCTATTTCACAGAGCACTCAATAATAAACATCACATTATATAAATTAATATTTCTTCCAAGGCTCAAGTATCAAAGGCCTTTTAATATTTTGTTACAGTGGACTTCTGCTAGTAATTTTCCCCATATATATCAGAAGATCTTACCACTGTCCGGCTTTGAAAGTAAAATCTTTATTTGCAATAGCCAAACGAAGTCTTTTGACTGTCTCCGATTCATTGGTGATTCCACACACTTTTGCTTGTGAAATTACCTATCAAAAGGAAAATGAAGCATTGTGTTACACGATATCATTTGCAGCAAAAGTACTCAAGAATCTGTGTATGAGAGAATATGCGAAGCAATACGTATCTGTGGCATTTCATTACCTAAAGCTCCAATATTATTTCACCAGGGCAGAGAAATAAAAATGAATCCACTTGCACAGTCACTGTATGGCGAAATGGTTTTCTACTTACAGTCCACCATGTCTGTCACTTTTGTCAGGGTTATTCTAAGATTACATACAAACTTCTTTTATTTCAGTTGAAGAGAACATACCGCTAAAGAAAAGTGATTGCTAGTTACCAGTTTCCAGATTCTTTTGACATCTATACAAGGCAAACACTCCTGTATCTTTCCAGCAACAAAGATCTCTGATGTAAAGACTGACAAAGGAAACTGATAAACTATCAGCTGCTACTGAAGTCCCAGGGAGAATTTTGGATCTGTATCTGGTTTTATTTAAGTAATTAAATGCACTACTGAAAGATAATGCATTAATGTGTAATGCATTAATGAAATAAAACCAACAAGCCTTGTGTTACTGCTTTTAGACACGTACCCATTTGACCACATGTGTGATCTATGAACATGGGGAAACATTGCAAGTTAACACAGAGATTTTGTTTGGCAACCAGATGGGAGGGGACGCAAGAGCCATAGTTGATTCCACTTTTAAAGAGTCTTTTAAAAAGTAAATCATGAAAGATGATGTTTTTCTAAACAAAACGCAGATTTTGCACCAGAGCCATTGGGGAGGACCTCCCCACTTAACTCTGATGCCCATCAATACAATGTGGATTTTTATCCCTTCCCCTCCCTGCCCTTCCTATTCAAGTATTTTTGAGTTCTAATTATGAACCTTTTTCCTCCTCAAAGAAAGTAATGCCCTAAATATTTTCTACACAGGCCATTATACAGATTTCACTCCCTTAAAAAAGGCTGATGTAATTTACCACACTAGGAAATAGTAATAATACCACCACAAATCTACCATTTCTCATTGTATAAGATCAAACAGATAAAAAACATAATTAAACTTTAAGGAACTATGCTCTAATTTAAAACACATGGCAGGAAATTAATTTATTCATAAAGCAACATCTGAACACGTCCACTGTCCCATTAAACAGCAGGATATTTGCCAATTTAAAATAATGTAGTATACATTTCTTTTCCACTTTAGCAGACAGTACTAAATGGGGAATGCAATCACTCTAAGTTAACAAAAGAAATGTCAGATACATGACTTAAATGGTTATTCTGATGGAGAAACCTTAAGTGCAGGAAATGGACATTAAGTTTGGACCTTCTTCATTCCCTTCTTTACTCTTCAGTACCCTCCCTAATTTGTTCTTTGGCTGATAGATCTGACAGAGCACTGGAAAATTAATTCTTATAAAGTTATTACAAAAATTGAATTTGAATCAGAGTGATCAAAGACATTCAACGAGTATTTTGGACCAGCACAAGAGTATCCAACTGACCCAGAGCAAGGCTCAAGTGAGAGGGAGGAGGACACAGGACTCCAGACTTTGCTGTTGTATTTCAAGAAAGCGTTAGGCACTTTTTCTTGACCTGGTCCTTCCCATTACCACTCTCCAACAGGCGATATTGTGTAGCAAGCACACTAATGCAACACAGACCTATGATTCTTTCATCTTTCTACAGGACTGAAATGGCCAAATAAGGCAGCACAGACTGAGGGAAGCTAACTGCTGATTATATGGCATTTAAAACCAAGCAGAAGATTTAAAATAAACTGATTTTAAAGCAGTCAGAAATAAAGTAACAAAGAATAAATCAAGCATTGAAAAAAGAAACAGCGTAATCCTCTGATATGCAGGGAATTTGCGGTACCAGAACTGAGCCCTTCTCTTTCACCTATCCCATACAGCTTCTTTCTCTTCCTCAGACCTTACACAGTTCCCTGTACCACCTCAGAGCTTTCAAAACCTCATAAGAATCCATTTTCCACATATTTTCCATCTACTCGGCATTTATGTTGAGCAAAAAAAAGTAAGCAAGCCAAGCAATCAGAAATACCCAAGATAAAAAACACATGGTTGCAAAACTCAAGTGCAATAATTTTTTTCATGTCAGAAGCAAACAAGAATGTGCATCTGTCTGTATCTGTTTCCACACTCGTTCAGTCCATGTACTGAGTTAATTTGGCATAAATCGGATCCACCTGAGAAGCTGTAAATCCACAAGCAACACTAATCCAGGCCTGTGACTTATTCTCAACTATACTCATAGTAAGGGAAAAATGCAGCAGAGGAGTTAATGATGTACATATATGCACATTAATAACTGTATAGTGCATTTGAGAATGTTGAGTGAGATACACACAGGACTGGCCTGTCACAAATGGCGACTCCTTCACACAGAGAAGCTCGCTAAACAGCAGCGAAATATTGGGCACTGTTTCCCAATGTCTGGGAATCAGATGGGATTTTTTCAGCCAAAAAAGTGCCATACTTCTCCTGAAACGTCTAAGAAAAATGCAGAATTGTTTCACTAGTGAAATGCTTTTGAGAACTGAAGTCACATTCCTCGAGTATTTAAAAATTTTAAACATCTACTTTAGCTAATTACAGAAAGGAAATACCTGTATGAAGTACATGTTCACCTCTGACCATAATGAAAAAGGATGCTTATTGCACAAAAACGAGATTCAGAATAAGCATTTTTAGATTTTAGCATAGAACAATGCTCTATCTTCCTTGTATTTGTTAATTAAAATAAAAAAAAAAAACTAAGATCCTTTTTACAACTATCATCACTCCCTTCAAAATGTCTACACTTTTAATCTTATCTCCTATGTTATAAAAAGACGTTTGTCACATTTTTTTCATCTGAGATAAAAATCCGAGAAGCCTGTGTAGAGATGATGGGTACCGGTGTGCTTTCTTTACTTACCACAATCCATACTTGACCAGAGTTCTATTAAATTTCTCGTCCAACAAAGTAAACGGCAAAGTAAAATTGCCACCAACCATTTTTATAAGAAAATACATTTATTTTACAGCAATATCAAATACGAAAAATAAGGAGAAAAAGAACTAAAACAGACTCCATTAAAAGATAAAATGAAGCCTAAGAATCAAATACAATTATCCAGTTTCTTCTTACCAAAAATATTAAAAATAAATTCATTACATCCTAAAGTACAGAACACTAACCTCCTGGCGAAAATTATTTGCTGTCCTCTCTAGATGATCCATTTTCCTTTTTGATTTTATTGTGCTGCAAAAAAAAAAGCAAACAAAGATAATTGTCATTTTGACAGCTGTGCTACTGTCCCTTCCTGACAGGAATTTCTATTAACATAACAATTTAACAGTGTAGTACAGACAATGGATGGCATAAGTCTAAATAAAAATTTAATATAAATATATAATTGGGAGTTAAGTAAGTATTTATAGGTTTGTAATAATTTGTCAGCTTCATTTTGACAGGGTTACCATGACATTCTTTAAAAAAAAAAATAAATAATAAGTTTTTGTATGTGGATAACCTACCCATTCACTGTGCAGTAACAAAAAGCAGAGTGTCTCAACACCACCAATGCTGAATGACTGGGAAAAATTCTGCAGGCACCTCTCAATAATTGAGGAACAGCAAACCCCACATAAATAGTAGCATTAGCCATGATGACTAGGCCGTCTTCAGAAACACCAGCACCTGAAAAATCCGTACAAATATTTGTTAAGTAAAATACCCACTGTTTGACATGGCTTGTTTTCACCCTACTTCTTCCACTCAGCTGGAGTTAAAAGTAGCAACAGACGTATAGAGTAGCACTAAACAATTTTAAAAGTATAAAAGAATCATAAAGAAGTGAAAATACACAGCCAAGGATTGAAGGGGTAGACAACCTAGTCACAGATGATATGGAAAAGGCTGAAGTACTCAGCATTTTTTTTGGCCTCGGTCTTCACAGGCAAAACCTGCAGCAGGACCTCTGCTGGTACCAGCAGTGTTGGGGAGAGGGATGAGTAGGGCCAGCAGCTGTTTAGAAAAGCTGGATGTATTCAGATGCACGGAGCCAAATGGGTTACACTCAAGGTTGCTAAGAGACATAGCAGACATGCTTGTGAGGCAACTGTCTATTATTTACAAAAAACAGCAGAGAAAGTCTGAAATTAACTAGAAAAAGACTAATGTTTTTATAAAACGCAATAAGCAGTTCCTATGTCCAGTCAGCACCACCTCAGTCTCCAGAAAAATGCTCAGAGCTTATCCCCGTAGCCATGTGAAAGCTAAGAAAGTAATCAGGAAGATTCAACACAAAGAGATTTACCAAGGGCAAATTATGCTTGGCAAATCTAAACACTGACTGTGATGAAATGTCTGGTCACAGAGCTAAGGGGACAGCAGTGGATACAGTCTATGACTCTATGAATATACCTTTACTTTCCTGTGGTTTTCACACCATCTCCCATAGCATACACATTAGGAAGCTGAGGCCAGATGGGCTGCTGGAACAGCTGAAAACTGGCTGGGCACAGAAGAGACTTGAAGGCTTGATGGCTTCAAGTTGCTTCAGCTGCTGGCTAGTAAGAGTATGCTGAGGTTGTTATCAGGGCTGATACTGTTCAGTAACTTTATCACTGACTTGGATGAAGAGACAGAATGTACCACACTAAATCAGAGGGATGTCTGACATGCTGAATGACAGGCCTCACTTCAAGGGAACACTGAGACACTGCGGGACTGAAAAACAGAAACCTCATGAACTTAAAAAAGTACAAAGCTCTGCACCTGGGGCTGGCCTAGTCCAGTGCTGGAGCTTTGACTTGGTGACCCTCAGAAGTCCCTTCCAGCCAACACATCTGCGATTCTCAATGCTTAAACAGTAATTTTGGTTAAAAGAAGATCAGAGAAACATTTTATTCATAAAGAAAACATTCTGGTTTTCTAAAACTGTTTACAGGTTTACTTAAAAACACGTAAATCCCTCATACTTCCATATATCCTATGTAATACCTACACCTCTACAGAGTTAAGCACATAGCAGAGACATGCACTACAGTGGAAACAGGGTGTGGACCTCTGAACTGCATACTCAAATGGAGCTATGGCAGAGAGAAATAAACTGACATGTACAATATTAAAAATATAAAAATATAGGGAGCAAAGAGATATTTCTCATTGCTTGTAAATCTGCCTTTGTTTTTCCTAAAATGGATTAGCATAATTCTCTATCATATTATCATCACCTATCCAATTATCATATTATTTCTATGATGCAGTCCATTACTTCTTTAAAAGATTATTAATCTTCTACTTCCATTTAAATCTCTTTTCCTGCATTCTTTTAAAGCATGTAATTTATTTTCAAAATGTTTTTGTTTTTCATTTTGAATCCTTTGAAATGGCAACGATCCAGCTTGTTTAACTAATCAGGCCTATACTCTCTAGGCTTTCACTAACAGCTGCGTTGGCTGGTCACTTAGTAATTTGTCCTGTTTGTAATCTTGTACAAATGGGAGGCAGAGCTTTCATCAATTAAGCTGCTCAGAAATGGAATACATTTACTATAACTATTCAAAATGCTTACTTCCAAGCATAAGAAATACTTCCTGCAGCTTTTAACTGTCCATAATTTTTAATAGCATTTTAGCATTTAATTCCACAGCAGCTTGCAACTTTTCAAAGTGGAATCATTTAAAACTCATCTCCCACCAGTGAGCAAAATTACTTGAACATTTTCTTGCCACACCATATACAGAGTACCATATTTAAACAAAATACTTTAGCACTTTCTCCATGCAGATGTGTAGGAGCTATCAATAACAAAAGTATTAACATTCTTAAATTATTTTAGCAAGACAAAGTACATATCTAATGAAGAACTCACATTCCTCCACATCAGCGTGTTCAGTCCATAAATGCTGAGCGCTTAGAAATCATTGCACTACTCAAATTCATGAGATCATTTTATGATCTGGAGCATCCTAGATAGCAGATCTATATAGCAGATAGTTATATCCATCTGTATTTCCTTTTTTTAGGCTTCCAAGTGCTTTTTGATTCATCTTTTCAAGCTTTTCACTCTACCATGTTAACTAATTCAAAGTAAAAACAAAGGATGTTTGAAAGTAGACATTCCTATGTAAGCTGTTTATGCCAATAGCTGTGACTAATTAAATAAGTACAACATCAAATGAACCACAATGTCCAACTCTTTGCTTCATAGGCCAAGAACCAGGAATAAAGATTTAATTATTCTTTTTTCATATATTTTTTAAATCACCTTACAGTCTTCAATACTCTTTTCGCAATTAATTGCTACTAAACACAGCGACATCTGCTGGTAAATTAAGTGGCATAACTTTAAAATCCAATGCAAAGATTCTGGATTGGTTTTTTACGTACTTAGTTTAATTCTGCTGCTAAAGTTGACAGTCACTTAAAACCAGCCTTATTCTCATTTCCACTGCTATCACTTTAGAAAGCAAACGTTCAGTTCTACACATGAAAATGTAAAATAAATTTAAAAAGTTCAATATTAATAAATAATACTGAAAACAAAATGTCACCCTTATTTTATTGTAGTAGCTGCAACTCTGAAGTCAGAGCTAAAAGATCCTGTTTTAACTATTTAGCCTGAGAACCTACCCTAAATTAAAAATAACTCTTAAACAGTAGTTCAAGATATTGTTCCATTCACACTATCATCAATCACTTTCTAATCCTTAAAAAGCACAATAAAAACCAACTGTAATTTTTACTTTGTAACTAATAAATTCCAAAATCTCCTGTAAGTAGTCCTGATTCTCCTCTACCATATACAAGTCTGAGTCATGCTTTTACAAAATGTGAACAGCCTCTCCCCCATCTGCCACCTTGCCAACTTTCTTGGCTCATCCAGCTCTTTGGCAGCTCCCTGCCCTCCAAAACACACAGTGCTTCTGTCTGGTGGGATGTTCTCCCTTTATTTTTTTCTTCTCTTCTTACCCAAGCCCTTACAGAAACAGTCACTCCAAATGCTCCTTGTCTTCCTTTGCTCTGCAGACAGAAGTGAGTGGTTCTTTTGTATATGCGTCTTTCCCTTCTTCACTTAAAATTAAAACCAAGCAATTAATTCATTCTCCTTACCCTCTGACCCACTGGCCCTGGGTTAGTATCGCTTGAGATCTACGACTCCATCTCTTCTTTTCCTCAGTCCTACATCAGTATCTGAAGGGAGAGAGTTACTTTTAGTCAACTTTTACTACACTGAGGAGCAACATACTACCTAAGTTAATGCAAGAGAGCACTGAAGGGGAAGCAAGGACACTGGAGCAAGCAGGACAAGACGTCTTTTACCAAAAGCAACTGCATAGATCGGCAAGGAGCACCCCTCCAAACTGTCCCTCCTGTAAAAATCATTACCCAAAAAAGCTTTCCCCCCCCAACCTAGCATTACGGGGCACAAGGAAAGGGGAACACGGGAAAAGCCTGCGCTTGACTGGAACGGACGGGACAGTCCGAAGGAGACTGGAGGGCCGCCCTCCAGCCCCGGCCCAGGAAGACAGGGAAAGACAAAGGGGCGGTGTGTCCTACCATGTCCCCCTCAGCCACTCGGGATCTGGCGGACAGGAAGGCCGGGTCGGGGAACGGGCAGGGCCGAGGAGCGGAGGGCACCGGCCGCCCAGAGTAGCCCCGGAGCCGCCGAGCCGCTTTCCACCGCCGTGAGGGGACAAACCGAGGCG